CTCCCAGCTTCTGCCTTGCCTTGGATTTCAAAGGCTTATACATATTCCATCTTCCAACAGCAAAACCCAGTTCCTCACTGGCAGTATAAGCCCTGTTCTTACCGGTACAAACTCCCAGGCTCGGCACAGCTGTGGTAGCAGAGCAGCTTTCCAAGGTCCTTCTCTCTCCCAGTAGGAAGCACAACTCGCCACGCTCTGCCAGCACCAGGGGAAACCACGAGGAAAGCTGGAAACTGACACAGAACGAGGAAAGAGCATTAAGTCAGCACCAAAAAACCGAGTTAGAGCAGCCTTTGCCTCATAGCCCTGCATGGGGAAAGGTTTTGGAGTTCCAAGGCAAACCCTGATAGACCGAGAGAACAACAGCCCCTCAGCCCCACCACGGCTGCCCCCGGGGCTCCCCGGCAGGGAACGGGCTTACCCAGCCCCCGCAGCCCAGCACAGCGGCCCCAAACACCGCCCAGCTGCCCCGTTCCACGGGCACGGATGGGAATTCTGCAGACGAGCCGTGCCTGGCAGACAAATCCATCTCGTGCCCGCTGCGAGGGCTGGCCCGGAGCTGCTCCATCCCTGCTGCCACGAGCTGTGCTGGCAGTGCCGCGGCTGCGGGTGGGATTCCCCAGCTCCGGACGCTCCGGAGCAGGGCAGTGCAGGGCACGGCTCCTCCGTCCCCTGCCAAGAGGAAGCGCAAGGAGGGCCGGCTCGCTGCCTGCTGCTCCGTCCTCCTGCCGGCCCGCCTTCCCTGCCCGGCTGCTCCGGAGCGCACAGGGAGCCCCGAGAACATTCCTGGCAGGAAGCAGGAGCCGCCGAGGGCTCCGTCCAGCTCCGGGCCCGAAAAGCGGCCCCGAGCCGGCATCCCCCCCGCCCCCCGGCATTTTGGCTTGCAAGCGCTCACCTGGAGGAGACGCCCCCCTGCAGGCGGGACCAGACGGCTAAACACCTGTGCCTCGGAGCGAGGTAAAAGAATTGCTGTGGGAAATTGCGGCCGTTCCGAAGGCAGAGCCGGGCCCAGCCTGTGCCCGAGCCGCGGCACGGTCAGCGCCAGCTCCTGGGGCTGCCTGTGGACAGACACGGGGACAGGCGGGCAGCTCCGCTCGGGGTCCCGGAGCACGGGAGGAAGGAGGAAAGGAAGCGTTCTTCCCTGCCCCGGCACGGGCCCCGGCTCCCCACGGCCGGAGCGGGCCCGTGCCCGGAGCCCCGGCGGGCCCCAGATCCCCCGTTCCCGGGGGCACTGCGGGCGGGAAGCCCGCGGCATTGCGGCCGCGGAGAAGGGGCAGGCGGGCGGTGTTCTCTCCGGGGGGGATGCGCTGGGGCCGGGGTGCCCGAGCCGGGGGCTCTGACCCCGCGGGGGGCGCGGGCGGCGCTGGGGGCCCGGCGAGTTCGGGGGTCCCAGGGCGGGCCCGGCGCGTCCCCACGAGGACGGACGAGGGAAGCGCCGCCGTTCTCCCGGCCCTGGGCCCCGGCAGAGCCCCGGCCCGAGCGGCCCCGCCCGCCTCGGTCCCAGCGACCGCCCCGGAACGGCTCCTGCCGGCCGCGCCGGGGCAGATGCGCCGGTCCCGGTGCCCATCGTGCTCCTGAGCCCCTTCCCAGCCCCAAGCCAACCTCGCTCCTCCGGTGGCGGTCCTGGCGCCGGTCCTGATCCCGATCCCAGTCCTAATACGGAGCCCCATCCGTAGCCTCGCTCCTCCGGTGCTGTCTCCACTTAGCGAGTCGATCCGTCCGCGCCCCGGGACGAGCATCCTCTGAACCAGCGGAGCGGGCGCGGTTCTGCCGCTTTTGAGCGGCGCGGTCGGGGCGGGGCCGGGGCCGGGGCGGGGCCCGCACAGGTGCGCGGGGAGGGGCCCGCACAGGTGCGCGGGGCGGGGACGGGCGGGGACGGCGGGGCAGGGCAGGGGGTATTTAAGGGCTGGAACTCACCTCCGGTGCCATTTGCTCGGGCAGTGCGCAGGAAGCAGTAACGCTGCAGGGGCCTTTCGCTGCTGTGGCTCTTTTTCTTTACTTTGGTTTGTATTATTTCTTTTATTCCTACTTTTTCTTTTATTCTTCCCCCTTCTTTTGTTCCCTCCCCAACCTGGTCTTCCCTTATACTCTGCCCCTGCCCGCAGAGCCACTCTGGCCTCCCCAGCCTTCGTTCTTGCTCCTCCGTCCTCCACCCTCCCTGATCTCTCACCCTGCCTGGTTCTGCTCTCTCTCCGTCCCCTGCCGCACACCCCAGTCCTTCCTCCCCTGCTTTCTCCTTCTCCGCCCTGGCTGTTCCCACACGCTGCCTCCCCCTGGTCCCGGTCACTGCCTTCTTGCACACCCCGACCTCCCCCGGCTCCTCCGGCCTCCCCTTCCTCCCCTATCCCTGCTCTGCCACACACCCCAACCCCCTGTCCCCACCTCTGTTCCCCTTTTCCCTGTGCACACATTAATGCTTTTTGTTCCTTTTCTAAAGAAAAAGTTAAGATGGAAACTTGGGCAGTAGCTGAGCAATACCAAGCTACTCTGCAACCAGGTGAAGTGACTTGAAGCTTGTAAGGTGGTCACTTAGAACTTTGGGGGCTCCAGGCGTAGGTGACCAACAGAGACCTCCAGTGGAGCCCCTCAGAGACCTGATGAGAGTTTGTGTGTACGGTAACAGGTGTTGGGAAATGTCCTGAATATGAAATAGGAATGCAGGAAACAAAATGAGCCCTTGTGTAATGCTGACCCCTCACATCAACTGCAGTGGAGACACCTCTGTGTGCAGACAGAGTTGTTCCTATTGTGTGGGCCAGTGGAAAACAGGTGTGGCCGATGAAGGGCCAGGTTAGACAGTTGTCAAACAGGAGCAGAAGTGACTCTCCAGGTAGCCTAATATAAATATGAGAAGCAAAGTAGTCAAGTGCCTGCTGTGACTGCAGAGGCAAGGATAGGTTGGGATCACAATAACTGGGGTGGAGATGCTTGGGATTCAGCTGCTGTTGAGCGTGGTTCAGAGGGGGAAGTGTTTGCTGAAGCACAACAAGTAACAGGAGGGAAAGGGGAAGGTGACCCCGATGGTTATCCCATCAGGCCTGATGTGGTGGAGGATTTTACTCAGACTGAACTTCCTGGTGTTATGGAGAGGTTTAAAGTAAAGGCCAGAGAGTCTGTGATCTCCTGGACAGTTGGGCTGCATGACCTGGGAGCCTCTGGGATCAGATTGGACTGGGCAGACAGGGAGCAGTTTGTCCTGGGGAGCTGGGCTGGGTTTGTTCAGGATGCCTTCGGAGGCAGGGCTGGAGAGGCTCCTTTGTTGGCTGTAGTGGTGGAAGGTTGTCCCAGGAGGACTGGAGCCCTTCGACCTCCTGTTCCCCCCGTGAGCCCCGACGGGACCGTGCACTTGGCAATGGAGGGCCCCCCATTGCTGAGTCAGCGGTTCCGGGGGCCGGCAGGGATGGGATCAGGATGCCGAGCTCCAGCCCAGGCAGGGCAGGAAATGGAGCAGCCACTGAAAGAAGCGAAGGCAGAGTGAGATGAAGGCCGAGCTCCAGCACAAGGGTGGGTGAGAAAAGCCCATGGCCCTCAGGTGGAGCTTTGAATTCCTTGGAAAAATGCATCTTGTCAAAGGGCTCAGGCCCTTGTGGGTGCTGGAGTGGAGGCCTCTTCAACTGATGGTCAGCCTAAAAAGGTGCAAGGGCAGCAAGTTTTGACAATAGGATGAGGTGGCAAACAAGGTGAAGTGGTACAGAGAAAAGCTGAGCTTCAGATTGGTCCTGTGCCAGAGCAGCCTTGTGGAGTGCTTATTGCTGTGCCTGGCTGTGGAAGGGCAGTGTATCCCATAAATCTGTATCCCGTGCTGTTGGCTTGTGCTTGTTTCAACTGTTGCTGTTATTCTGTGACCGGGGAGGAGTTGTTTCCTTGAGTGCCCTGCCTGTCAGCACAGCACCAGGTCTGTTCAGCAGCTGGAGACCGGGCAGGTTTGGGGGCTGTGATGTCCCAGCTCCCTTTGCCATCCCTGCTGAAGGGTGGGGGTTGCACAGAGCCAGCAGCGTCCAGCTGGAGGATCCAGGAGGATGCAGCTCTGCTGTTCTGGGAGGTAAGAGGTGGGGGTGCAGGAGCTGGAAGGGGTGTTCTCCAGGCAGAGGGAGGGAAGGAGCAGGGAGAACTGCAGCCCCCAGCAGCTCGGTCAGTGCCGGATGGACTCAGGGCTGGGAAAGGTCACTCAGTGTGAGGGCAGGTGAGAGCCCAGGGTGGCCCTGGCAGCCCTGGGGCTGGGAACAAGTCCAGTGGGCAAAGGAATGGACCCTGGAGAGCTGGGCAAACAGCTGGAGGAGTTTCAAGGAGAAGCAGGAAACTGGACAAGTTGCAGCAGCTCCTTCTGTGTGTGTGTGTGTAACCAGGTCTAGTGCAGCCACGAGTGAGGTGGGAAATGAACCTCAGCAGGCTGGGAATGAGTCCCACAAACTGGTTACACTGGGATTGAGTCTTCCCAAGTGTCTGAAAAGCTTTGCTTTAATTTGGCTTTCTAAATTGCAAACTGAAGTGATTGTGGAGGTGTTGGCCCTTGCTGTCCGGTGTCTTTGGTGAGGTGTTGACTCAGTAGCTTTACTGGAGCTGCTGCTGGATGTCCCTAATTGACCTGTAAGGTCCTGGCTTTCTTCCCTGCTTCTCCCAGCTTGTCCATGCAGGAGATGGAATTCCAGGGCTGCAGTAGAGATGGCTTGTGGTGCTCCCAAAAGGAGCCTTTCTGCCTTCAGGACAAGTTCTGGTGCCACTGGAGCTGTTGGGAGAAGCGGAGGGTTGGCAGTGACAGACCTGGAATGCTGTTGCTGTGGCACAGAGGCTGCTCCCTGGCAGGTTCTTGGGTTGGATTCCTTGGCTGCCACTTGGCAAGGCCTGGAAGGGCTTCAGTTGTGTAGGGAACAAAACATGGAATGGGAAAGCAAAGCAGGGGAGGTTCTGGTTTCAGAGAGAATCATTGAATTTTCTCTTTCTGCAGGGACACTGGGCTGGTCCAAGTGTGGCAAGAAGAACAAGTGGACCGTGAAGGTTTGGAGCAGTCTAGAAGGTTCCTCGTGCCCAAAGGATCCTGGCAAGTGAAGTACTGGAAGAGCACAGAATAATGAAAAGTGCCTCAGTTCTCCTGAAGCTCAACTTTGTAAAATATTCATGAAGATAAAATCCTACTGTACTGAGCTGTTGGGTCCCAAATAGTCTTGGAGGGAGAGGCAGAAACTCCCACTGCTGCTGGGGCTGAACTGCTTGCAGTGCCCAGGTAGGACTCGGCCCTGATGTCTGAGTGCTCTCCAGTCCCCCAGGATGGATCCCAACTGTCAGCCCCCGGCTCCATAACTTGAGGAGAGGGTGTTCCTGAAAGCCCAGCTGCTGTGTTGGGGATCCTGTGTGCACCTCTTGCTCTGGCCTGTTGTGAATGTATTTGTGTTGCAGCTCAATAAAGTCACAATAAAGTGGTGATTGTGTGATTTTGGTGTCAGTTCCTCTTTCCCTTGCCCAGCAGCTGCATCACTGACTTGTGCCTAACTGAACTCTTGCCCTGCAGCAGATCTCTGCTGCTCTCAGAGGGTGGAGCTGAGGCCCCTGAGCAAAGGGCAAAGGGCTCCATTCCTGCAGCATCCCGTGTTTGCAGTTGCCATCACTGCTGGACATACAGCCTGTTCCTGAACAAACCCCTTTCCTGTTCTCTCTCCTGTTCTCCCCTCCCAGCTGCCCTCCTCTGATGCTCCAGGTGCCAAGGCCCCTGTTTTTAAGGGGCATTCCCTGCTCTGCTACCCTGCCTTCCCCCCCATTCTTTATAAGTCAAGAGCCAGGAGCCCCAAGTGCAGAGAGGGCTGCAGGGAATAAGTGGCAATACCTGCCCTGTGTTCCCTGCATTCTCCTGCCTGTTGTGTCCTGGACTGGAGAGCCCTGCCTGGCCTGTGTTTCTTGGAGGAGAGTGATGTTATTCCCTTTGTCCCAAAGGTGTTGTGGGCACTCATTTTCTGACAGGCAGTGCCCTTTTCCTGTTGCCTTTCCCAAGTTTTCCCAAGTGCTGCCCAGCACGGCCTTGGTGTGCTGAGACAGTGATTTCCAGGAGGAAGGGGAGCCTTGGCCTCAGCTGCCCAGCTCGGCTGGGTGCCACAGGATTGGGGTGGCCTGGCAAGGCACGAACATATTTCGGAGTTCTGGGCTGCCTTGAAACCTTTCCCTGTCAGGTTTCTCTCCCTGATTTCCTGGGCTCCAGCACCCCAGGTGTCTCTGCCTTTGTCCAAAGAAGTCCAATGGCAGAGGACTGACTAACTCATAAGGGGGGTTTGGAATGAGAAGGGTTCTGTTCCAATTGGGCAAGGAATGCAGTAAGAGAAAGGAGCCTCCTTTTAGTGCCTGAAACAGAGAGGAATACAAATGCTGGCAAAGGTCCCATTTCCTTTGGTGTCCCCCTGGATTTCTCCTGGATGAAAGCCTCTAGTGAGCAACCAGAAGAGAAGGGTGAAGAAGAGGAGCCTTTGAGTTGCCCAGTGCACTTACCTGTCCTGTTCTGCTCTCTTTCAGGACAGGCCAAAGCCCTGAATTCAGCCCAGCTGTGCCCAATGCCTCGGGGTGTGAGCAGCCAAAGGCAAGAGGCTCCAGCCCCGCCGGCCGTGCTGGGGGCTCCTGGTCCTGCCCGTGGGGTGGGGTAAGTCAGAGGGACACGTTTCCCTTCTCCTGCCTCTTGGCATTTGCTCCCTGGGCAAGGGCTCTTTTCCCGCTGCGGGCTGGTCCTTGCCGTGTGTGCTGGGAAGGGTGCAGAGGCAGGGGCGAAGGGCCGGGTGCCGGTGAGATCGCAGGGAGTGTTGGCATTGCAGGGAACGGGGAGCTCAGAATGCCAGGAGCTGATGGAACCATTGCCTTAGGTGTGTTTAGTTTGTGTCTGGAGCTGGGATTTGGGCTGGAGAGCTGTGCTTGGGAACAAAGGGTGGAGCAAACGTTCTCCATGGATGTGTAAGGAAGGAGCAAGTAGCAGGGAAGGGGTCTATTTCTAAACTACAGGACTGCTTTGGTTCTGAGTCAGAGAGAGAGGGAAGTGGCTTTTCCTCCTCTGGAAGGTTTCCAAGCAGAAGTGGGACATTGTCCTGTCCCTCCCCAAAGCTCTGCAGGCACATGGGAGTAGCTCAGGGCTGGCCCAGTTCTCTGAGGCAGAACCACGTGGGAGAGGTTTAAGTGTTCATAACATCTCTATTGTCACTTGATTGCAAAGATTAGGTCCTACAGTCCCAGAGTGTTAAGGAAAACAAGGAACCCCTGTTCTTCATGGCAAAAATAATAATAAAAAAAAGCTGAGGTGAAGTTTGTTAAAGCAGCAGAACATTCTCATTCTTGTGGGGTTTGTGGAGTCGGTGTGGGTGCCCAGGAGAACTGGGTCAGAACTGGGTTTTGTGGTCAGAGAGCTGCATCTCTAAATTTGGCAGGCTGTGTGTGGTGGAAATGAAGTGGCAGCCCCAGAGGCTGGTGCTTTGTGTCTCCAGGTACCCCCGGGACGCTGCTAATCCCGAGGGATCTGCTCTGGGTCCAGGCTGTCCGTGCTGGAGCGCCCTGGTGGCTGCAGAGACAGAGAGAGCCCCGGCCCCAGTGGCCTTTGGCCCCCTGTGCGGAACGTGGGGTGAGCTGGGAGCGTGGCAAGGGCAGAGTGAGGGCTGTGCTCCACACTTACGCCGGCAAGGGCAGTGTTTCCCGGCAGGGCTTGAGGTTTGGGCCCTCAGGCTGAGTTGGAGGAGGCTCAGGGCGACAGACGCTGCTGCCTTTTGTTGCCTGCTGAGGTTTTCTGTCCCCCAGAAAGCACCATCCCCGTGGGCATCGATGCCGTGCCCCGTGCCCACCGCTCACTGTGCACCCAACTCAGACCAAAGCGAGTCTTGGTTTGTTTGAAAGAGCTCCAAAGAACTTTCAGACCAAGTAAATCCCTTTTTTCTTCTGTTTTCCTTTGAGGTGATGGAATTGCCTCTCTGGATGTGTGCTGAGCTCTGGCTGCAGCCGTCGGCACTGGGCACTCCCCGGGCCCTCCTTCCTCGGCAGCCTCGTGGGCCGGGACAGAAGAGACGGGAGGTAAACCGGGCTCATCGGTAGTGGGCACGTAGGGAAAGTTGGGTGGGGGGAAATATCTGAGGTAATCTGCATGGCAGAGAGTGAATATTTAGAGGTGAAAATGAGGCACTCAGTGGTGGACTTGTAGGGAAAATTGTGGGGGTAAAATCTGTGGCAATGAGCAGCAGAGAGAAGGAACATTTTGGAATAAACTGGATCAGTCAGTACTGGAGAGGCAGAGAAAGTTTTGAGGGGAAAACTTGATGAGATCTCCAGGGCAGAGAACAAATCTTTGGAGATCAAAAAGAGAGTAGTGTGCATGTAGGGAAGCCTTTGGGGGTTAAACAGGAGGTAATCTCTACAGGAGAGAATGACTATTTGGTGTTCAAAAGGATGGAATCAGAAAATTGTGGGTGTTAAACTGCCAGGTAATGACCTGGGAAGAGAATCTGTTGAGGTGAAGATGAGGTACTGGGTGGAGGACAGGTAGGGAAAGGTTTGAGAAGAGCTTGAGGAGGTCTCTGGGGTGGAGAATGACCCTCTCTAGGTACAAATGAGCTGCTTAGATGTGGATAGGTGAGGAAAATGTTGGGAGCCAAATCTGGGCAATCTGTCACAGAGAGAATGAACAGCTTGGGTCAAGTGAGGCAGTCAGTGGTGGGCAGGGAGGGAAGATGTTTGTTGGTAAAATGTGAGGTCACGTGGAGCAGAGAGAATGCACCTCATGGAGTGAACTGGGGCCATCAGTTGTGGTAATCTGAGGTAATCTCTGGAGGAGAGAAGGACTATTTTGTGTTGCAGAAGAGGTAATTAGCAGTGGGCTGAAAGGGAAAACTTTGGGGGTTGAAGAGGAGGTTCATTCCCTGCAGGGGAGTGAATGAACATGCTGAGGGAAGCTGAGGGAATGAGTGGGGACAGAGACAGAAACTTGGGGGTGTTAAAGTGCAGGTAATGACCTGGGAAGAGAATCTGTTGAGGTGAAGATGAGGCACTGGGTGGAGGACAGGTAGGGGAAGGTTTGAGAAGAGCTTGAGGAGGTCTGTGGGGTGGAGAATGACCCTCTCTAGACAGATATGAGCTGCTTAGACATGGATAGGTGAGGAAAATGTTGGGAGTAAAATCTGGGGCAATTTGTCACAGAGAGAATGAACAGCTTGGGTAAAGTGAGGCAGTCAGGAGCGGGCAGGGAGGGAAATTTTTGTTTGTCATAGCTGAGGTAATCTGCAGCAGAGACAATGTACCTCATGGGTTAAACTGGGGAAATCAGGAGTGGACAGGTAAGGAGGTTTTTGGGGAAAACTATGAGGAATTCTCTGTGGCAGAGGACGAATATTAGAAGGTCCAAATGAGGTAATAAGTAGTTTGCAGGCAGGGATAAGAGTGAAGGTAAATCTGGATGTCACCGAGGGGAGAAAATGAGCATTTTGAGGCACAGTGAGGCAGCCAAGTGGTGGGCAGGGAGGGAAACTTTGTGTTTGTAAAATCAGGGGTGATGTGGAGGAGAGAGAATGGACATTTTGGGGTAAACTGGGGTAAACCTTGGGGACCTGCAGGGAAATGTTGGGGGTAAAACTTGTGGTAATCTCCAGGGCAGAGAGTGAATCTTCTGAGGTGAAAATGAGTTGCTGGGTGGTGGACAGGTGGGGAAGGTTTGGAGAGTAAACTTGAGGTCTTGTGCTGGGTAGAGAATGAAAATCTTGATGTCTAAGTGAGTTGGTGAGCTGTGGAGAGGTCGAGAAAATGCTGTGGGTATGGTCTGAGGTCATCTGTAGCAGGGAGAATGTCCATCGTGATGGACACTGAGGCAGTCAGTGGGGAGCAGGTAGGGAAAATGTGGGGGAGAATCTGGGGCAATGTGTAGCAGAGAGAATGAGCATTCTGGGGTGACCTGAGACCGTCAGGAGTGCACAGGAAGGGAAAAGTTTTGGGGAAAAATTTGGGGCACCATGCAGTGTGGAGAATGAATATTTTTAAGGACAAATGAGGTACTCAGTGGTGGAGAGTTGGGCAGTGCTTTTAGGGTACACTTGGGGTAGTCCACAGAGTAGGGAACGCACATGGATTTGTACAGATGAGCTGATTACCTGTGGGTAGGGAAGGAGAATTTGGGGAGTCAAATCTGGGCAATCTGTCACAGGGAGAATGAACACCTTGGGTAAAGTGAGGCAGTCAGTGGTGGGCAGGGAGGGAAGATGTTTGTTGGTAAAATGTGAGGTCACGTGGAGCAGAGAGAATGCAGCTCATGGGGTGAACTGGGGCCATCAGTTGTGGACATCTGGGGGAAATTGTGGGGGTCAAACCTGAGGTAATGTCCAGGGCAGAGAATGGATATTTTGAGTTCAAACCCTGGGGGTTTAGAACGAGGTTTTGTCTCCAGGGGAGAGAAAGAACAGCACGCTGTCAGCTGAGGTGAGCAGTGGTGGGCAGGTGGGGACATTTAGGGCAGAAATGTTTGAGGTCATCTGCAGGGTCCAGAATGAACCCTGAGAGGTGCAGATGAGGCAATCAGGAGTGGACACTCCAGCGGGCCCAGGGAAGACTCTGGGGGTAAAAGGTGTGGCCACGTCTGGCAGAGAGAAGGAACTTTTTGCCATCAACTGAGGCAGTCCTTACGGGACAGGTGAAGCTTCAGAAACCCTCCAGGGTAAGGAGTGAATATTTGGAGGTGAAAATGAGGTGGTCAGAGTGTGCAGGTGGGGTAAAAATCAGAGGTAATCTCTGGAGGAGAGAAGGACTATTTTGTGTTGCAGAAGAGGTAATTAGTAGTGGGCTGAAAGGGAAAACTTTGGGGGTTGAAGAGGAGGTTCATTCCCTGCAGGGGAGTGAATGAACATGCTGAGGGAAGCTGAGGGAATGAGTGGGGACAGAGACAGAAACTTGGGGGTGTTGAACTGCTGGGTTCCAGCCCCGGGCTGTGTGTTTTGCAGACGAGCCGTGCCTGGCAGACAAATCCAGCTCGTGCCCGCTGCGAGGGCTGGCCCGGAGCTGCTCCATCCCTGCTGCCACGAGCTGTGCTGGCAGTGCCGCGGCTGCGGGTGGGACACATCCTCCGAAGGCTCTGGATCCCCTTCCAGCCCTTGCCAAGGTGTGGGTGGCTGTCCCGAGGGCGGCTCTGGGGCACAGCCCAGCCACAACAGCAGGTGCCAGTTCAGAGGGCTCTTCCAGCCGCAAGAATTCCACGGCTGGCAGTCGTGTTACCTCGTGAGCTCTTGCTCCAACGGGATCCTGGGAGGTTTGGTCCCTTCCAGGGGGTCCCGGCCCCTCGCTGCCAGGGCCACGCAGATGCAGCCGGAGGCCAACGCGGACACGTCGGCAGAGGAGGAGAGCTTTGGGCCACAGCTCGTATCCAGGCTGGAGGCACGAGAGCACTTGCCTCGGCAGGAAGTTTTCCTGAGATCTGCTGCTCTTTTTCATGGAATCCCACACTGGCTTGGGTTGGCTTGGCTTGGCAGGGATTTTAAAGCCCCTCCAGTCCCACCCCCCTGCCATGGGCAGGGACACCTTCCACTCGCCCAGCTTGCTCCAAGCCCCATCCCACCTGGCCTCAGACACTTCCAGGGATCCAGGGGCAGCCACAGCTTCTCCGGGCAACCTGTGCCGGGACCTCCCCACCCTCACAGCCAAGAATTCCTTCCCAATATCCCGCGTAAGCCTCTTCCTTTAAAAGCAAGGTGTGTCTGAAAACTCTTGCTAAATTCTTACTTGTGTTCTGTCAAAAAAAAAAACAACACCCACCCAACAATCCAAAATAATCAAAATGTGTCCCTTTTTGCCCCCTCCCTCCCTGCCAGCAATGTGGTGGAAATGCCAAGGATGTGAAGAAGCTGGAAGAGGCTGGATTTCACACCGTGGAGGCCGTGGCTTGTGCACCAAAGAAGGAGCTGCTGAACATCAAAGGCATCAGCGAAGCCAAAGCTGACCAAATCCCGGTAAGGATGTTATGGAACATTGAGCCAAGATATTCCACAAGCTTCTTTCTGCCGGCTTGAAGAGTTGTGGTGGATTTGGAAGGTCTCCAAAGGGCAGGCAAGGTGCTTAGAGGTGCGACACGGCTTCTGACGAGAAGGGACAAAACCCACCGGGACAGAGCTGAACCGGAAGGGGGGTGGCGAGGGGAAACTATTTCCATAAAACACACCAAATAGATGGTGGAGCCTTCTCCTGCAGCACAATTTCACTTCTCTTCAGAGGTACCAACTAGCGCCCAGTCTGGAAACTAAAAGGGGCGGGGAGTGATACAGGTGCTACTCCCCAAAGCAGGAAATATTAATTCCTGGGGGTTAATGAACAGGGGAGCTCTCCTGGCACTGCTCTGCTTGGTTTTCCCTCAGGCTGAGCCAGCACAACCGGTTCCCGTGGGTTTGGCCACGGAATTCCACCAGCGGAGGTCGGAGATCATCCAGATCACCACTGGCTCCAAGGAACTGGACAAACTGCTTCAAGGGAATCACTCGATTGCTCTTTACCGCTTAGCCTGCGTTGTTGGGGTGGGCTTTTTACCGGGAACACGATCCTCGCACAGAATCCCAGAGAACAAGTTGTGGTTAAGTGAAAAATCTCCTCAAGTGCTGCTCTTGTGTAACTGTTTTTATTTTAAAAGCTGCAGAAATAGTTTTAAAGCCTTGTAGTCACAATGCAAGAGCCAGAGCTGTCCATTTGGGGATGTTTCTGGTTTATTCTAGCGTGTGATGTATTTCAAGAAAACCAAACCAGGGATCACCATCTGCCCATTTATCTGGTGATCCAAAAATGAACCAAATAATTTTAGCTCTGCAACATCTTCAAAAACACACCCAAACCTTTTACCTACAACGTGAACAAATCTCAGGATGACAAGTTTTGCCAATTAATTTTGAAACTTTTGGCCAAATTAAGTGTTTTACTGAGTCTCTGTAATTTGCAATGTTTTGTGTGTGGGTTTTGTTTGTAATTTTTATTGCTAATTATTATTGTTATTCTCTTCCCTTCAGGAGGAATAGAAACAGGGTCCATAACAGAGTTGTTCGGGGAGTTCTGTACTGGGAAGACACAGCTCTGTCACACCCTGGCAGTCACCTGTCAGGTGAGTGGGTCACCTCATTACAATCCAATGTTCAGACGCCACAGCATTTGGGAATTTGCTAATTTGGGCACTTTTCTTGACTTTCTAAGTGCTTCTTGCTTTCTAGAGGTGGCTCTTTGTTACAAGCCGGTGCAGAAGCTCCAAGCTTTAGCAGGTGTACCCTTTCATTTCAGACTTGCAGAGATTTTAGTATTCCATAAAGTATTAGAGGCTTGGACTCCGCGGTGGCTGAGAGGGAAAAGCCACGTGCATCGACACGGAGGGGCCCTTCCGTCCGGAGCGGCTCCTGGCTGTGGCTGAAAGGTCTGTGAGGGGAAGAAAGGAATATATTTGCTCACAGCTTAGCTGGAAGGCATTTCACACAGGTCCTGGAGGTTGACTTGACAGAGGTTCACTCTGGCAGCACCTGATGCTGCTGTTCCTCTCCCGTCTCTGCCGCTCTCTCCACACAGCTCTCGTGTCATTGTCCCCCAGCAGGAAGTGATTTCCCTCACTTTTTGCTGCTGGAAGGGCACGTGAGCTTCCCAAGCAGCTGGGGACGGTACCAGCTCCCGTCAGCTCTTTTGGAAGGGAATTTGATCTACTCCTGCTGGCTTTTCCTGCAGCGAGGAGTGCTCCCACCAGCGGATATTTGGCAACAAACGTCTCTGGATGAACCCTGATGACACTTGATACTGATGGGAAAGGCAAAGGATGTTTGCAGCAGTCATAGGTGTGTCTGTGCTGGCTGTATACAGAGAGCCCTTTGAATCCTGGAATTGTTCAGGTTAGAAAAGCCCTCTATGATCCAGCCACTGCCCAGCACCGCCGAGGCCACCGCTAACCCAGGTCCCCAGGTGCCACATCCACAGGGCTTTAAATCCCTGCACTGCCCCAGGCAGCCTGTGCCAGGGCCGGACAGGCGACAGGCTCTGTGGGCAATCGGTGAGCATCATGAAGGTTTGGGGCGTGTTCCTACAGCTCTGCACAGTGCTTTACGGATTAGGAGGATTTTCTGGAAGCAGGCTGTGCACCCTGACCTGTTTCCTTCCCTCTCCCTATCAGACCGTCCCTGCGGAAAGGCCGAGGAGAGACCGGGGTCTGTAAAGCCCACGACTCTCCGTGTCTTCCCGAGGCTGAGGCCACGTTTGCTATCGAGGCCGACGGAGCAGGAGATGCTAAAGAAAGAAAAGAGCTTTTTTCCCCCTGAATCCCAAGACTGTGTCCATCAGGGGCTCCTTTCTGTGTGGCACCTTACGGACATTCCCCGAGGCCCCGGCAGAGGAACCTGTTGTGTGTCAGGGCGTGTCCATCGGGGCAGCCGGAGGGCTTGGCGACACATCTCCCACTGGGCTGTAGTCCCGGATTGGATCCACGCGGTGCCCTGTGAACATTCCCAGAGGACCACACCCTTTGTGTTTTCCTGGGTTCCACCACTGTAACCACGTGCGAGACCCAATGGAAACTTCACACACACCAGGATGATGTTTTGGAAGCTTCATCTTTATTGGAAATTATACTTACTCTTATACAATTCAATAACTACCACGTATTTGACTACTCAACTCATGATTGGTCACACACACAAAACACACACTGTTCACACCATTATTATTGGCTAGCCAGCATATCTTGTTTTCTAAATTCTTCTCCTTCTAAATCTAACCACAATACTTTATTCCCATGCCTCCTGGCAGGTCCAGCTCAAACTCCCGTCTGCAGGTGCTGTTTTTCTTGTTCCTGCAGATGTCCAGTCCTTGTCATGTTCTCAAAACACTTAGTCCTTGAGACTCCTCAAATTCCCACCAGCTGGTCCACTCCTGCCTTAACCCAAAAGGTCTCTAATTCTCCTACACACCACGCATGGGGGGCAGTAAAATCTACGTGGCCACAGTTGTGAACTTGGTGAATTTGAACTGAAGGTGGTGGGTTTGTCCTGTAAGAAAAGTGGTTATTTATAAAACTGAGCAGAGTGATGTTTCTCTGAAAACCTGGGGTAATTTCTAGGGGATACAGCAACTGTTTTTAGGGGCAAGTGTGTTTAACCGCATCGGCCCCAGTGGTGTTTGCACCAGCTGGGGCCAGAGGGGCGAGGCAACCCAAAGCAAACCCTGCTCAGCCTCTGAATCCCGGGGTAAGTTCTGCAAGCTGCTAATGGAGGGACTAAAAAGACATTAAAATGGAACCAAGAGCACTAAGAAGGTGCCTGGGAATCCCAGTATTGTTGTCCTAGAATTCTGAACAGCTTTCCAAGCTTTTTACGACAGCAATGGCTCTCTTCCTTTGGGTGAGTCCCTCGGTAAGATTTGGGGTTTGTTTGAATCCCTCCCGGTGGCCCTGACACCCATCAGGAGCTGGCAGGGCAGACTCCGAGCTCCTGGCAGGTCCAGGGGGTTTCCCCCACAGTGGCTCCGAGTGCTGCCCACCAGCCTGGACAGGTGGCATCTGCTTTGGCTCCTGTCTGAGGAGCCGCGGGCAGCCCTTTCTCCGTGCCCACCCCGGTGCCCGTGGCCGGGTTCCAGCCCCGGGCTGTGTGTTTTGCAGACGAGCCGTGCCTGGCAGACAAATCCAGCTCGTGCCCGCTGCGAGGGCTGGCCCGGAGCTGCTCCATCCCTGCTGCCACGAGCTGTGCTGGCAGTGCCGCGGCTGCGGGTGGGATTCCCCCAGCTCCGGACGCTCCGGAGCAGGGCAGTGCAGGGCACGGCTCCTCCGTCCCCTGCCAAGAGGAAGCGCAAGGAGGGCCGGCTCGCTGCCTGCTGCTCCGTCCTCCTGCCGGCCCGCCTTCCCTGCCCAACTGCTCCGGAGCGCACAGGGAGCCCCGAGAACATTCCTGGCAGGAAGCAGGAGCCGCCGAGGGCTCCGTCCAGCTCCGGGCCCGAAAGCGGCCCCGAGCCGGCATCCCCCCCGCCCCCCGGCATTTTGGCTTGCAAGCGCTCACCTGGAGGTGAGCAGGTCCCCTGCAGGCGGGACCAGACGGCGACCCTCGGCCAAACGCCCGTGCCTCGGAGCGAGGGAACCCTCCGCACTCGGCGGGCTGCTTTGTCCCTGGCAAGGGCCGTCACCCGCCAGCACCTCGACAACCGCTGGGGAAATCCCGGACGGGGCAGGAAAAGCTCCCCGAGCACGGCAAGCACGAGTTCGTGCCCGTCCCCAGCCGGGCACAGCCCAGCCGGCCGCGCTCCCTCCGGCCCGGGCCTGCCAAGGGCTCGTGGAGAGGAGCGAGAGCTGCCCACATTGAATAAAGGCGCATTTGCCGACAGCATTTCCCCGCGCTCCTTGCCTCCTGTGACTCGCACCGCAACGTCCGCTCGGAGCATTTGTGGGTTTCCTCTCCTGGAGCCCTTTCCCGGCCAGGCAGGACCTTGTCCGTCTGCAAAGAAAGATGCAATGTTTCGGTGGGATTTTTAAAACCAGTGGGTTTGCCGCGGGAGGGTGCGAGTTCCAGAGAAAGTGGGGGAGAGGAAGGAGAGCCTCAGGTCTCACCTGGCAGCTGTCAGATGAGCTGCAGCTTCTGGATCGCAGGCCAAAGAATCGCTGTGGGAAATTGCGGCCGTTGCGAAGGCAGAGGCGGGCCCAGCCTGTGCCCGAGCCGCGGCACGGTCAGCGCCAGCTCCTGGGGCTGCCTGTGGACAGACACGGGGACAGGCGGGCAGCTCCGCTCGGGGTCCCGGAGCACGGGAGGAAGGAGGAAAGGAAGCGTTCTTCCCTGCTCCCGGCACGGGCCCCGGCTCCCCACGGCCGGAGCGGGCCCGTGCCCGGAGCTCCCGCCTGCAGGTGCTGCTCTTTTCTTGTTCCTGCAGATGTCCAGTCCTTGTCATGTTCTCAAAACACTTAGTCCTTGAGACCTCAAATTCCACCTCAGCTGGTCCACTCCTGCCTTAACCCACAAGGTCTCTATTCTCCTACACACCACGCATGGGGGGGCAGTAAACGCATGCGGACACAGTTGTGAACTTGGTGAATTTGAACTGAAGGCGTGTGGGTTTGTCCTGTAAGAAAAGTGGTGATTTATAAGAGCCGAGCAGAGTGATGTTTCTCTGAAAACCTGGAGCAAATTTCTAGGGGATGCAGCAACTGTTTTGGGGGGCAAGTAGCGTTAACCGCCTTGGCCCCACTTGTGTTTGCAGCAGCTGGGGCCAGAGGGGCGAGGCAACCCAAAGCAAACCCTGCTCAGCCTCTGAATCCCGGGGTAAGTTCTGCAAGCTGCTAATGGAGGGACTAAAAAGACATTCACATGGAACCACTAAGAAGGGGCCTGGGAATCCCAGTATTGTCGTCCTAGGCTTTTGACCAGCTTTCCAAGCTTTTTACGACAGCAATGGCTCTCTTCCTCTGGGTGAGTCCCTCGGTAAGCTTTGGGGTTTCTTTGAATCCCTCCCGGTGGCCCTGCCACCCATCAGGAGCTGGCAGGGCAGACTCCGAGCTCCTGGCAGGTCCAGGGGGTTTCCCCCAGAGTGGCTCCGAGTGCTGCCCACCAGCCTGGACAGGTGGCATCTGCTTTGGCTCCTGTCTGAGGAGCCGCGGGCAGCCCTTTCTCCGTGCCCACCCCGGTGCCCGTGGCCGGGTTCCCAGCCCTGGGCTGTGTGTTTTGCAGACGAGCCGTGCCTGGCAGACAAATCCAGCTCGTGCCCGCTGCGAGGGCTGGCCCGGAGCTGCTCCATCCCTGCTGCCACGAGCTGTGCTGGCAGTGCCGCGGCTGCGGGTGGGATTCCCCAGCTCCGGACGCTCCGGAGCAGGGCAGTGCAGGGCACGGCTCCTCCGTCCCCTGCCAAGAGGAAGCGCAAGGAGGGCCGGCTCGCTGCCTGCTGCTCCGTCCTCCTGCCGGCCCGCCTTCCCTGCCCGGCTGCTCCGGAGCGCACAGGGAGCCCCGAGAACATTCCTGGCAGGAAGCAGGAGCCGCCGAGGGCTCCGTCCAGCTCCGGGCCCGAAAAGCGGCCCCGAGCCGGCATCCCCCCCGCCCCCCGGCATTTTGGCTTGCAAGCGCTCACCTGGAGGTGAGCAGGTCCCCTGCAGGCGGGACCAGACGGCGACCCTCGGCCAAACGCCCGTGCCTCGCAGCGAGGGAACCCTCCGCACTCGGCGGGCTGCTTTGTCCCTGGCAAGGGCCGTCACCCGCCAGCACCTCGACAGCCGCTGGGCAAATCCCGGACGGGGCAGCAAAAGCTCCCCGAGCACGGCAAGCACGAGTTCGTGCCCGTCCCCAGCCGGGCACAGCCCAGCCGGCCGCGCTCCCTCCGGCCCGTGCCTGCCAAGGGCTCGTGGAGAGGAGCGAGAGCTGCCCACATTGAATAAAGGCGCATTTGCCGACAGCATTTCCCCGCGCTCCTTGCCTCCTGTGACTCGCGCCGCAGCGTCCGCTCGGAGCATTTGTGGCTTTCCTCTCCTGGAGCCCTTTCCCGGCCAGGCAGGACCTTGCCCGTCTGCAAAGAAAGATGCAATCTTTCGGTGGGATTTTTCAAAGCGGAGGCTTTGCCGCGGGAGGGGCGAGTTCCAGAGAAAGTGGGGGAGAGGAAGGAGAGCCTCAGGTCTCACCTGGCAGCTGTCAGATGAGCTGCAGCTTCTGGATCGCAGGCCAAAGAATCACTGTGGGAAATTGCGGCCGTTGCGAAGGCAGAGCCGGGCCCAGCCTGTGCCCGAGCCGCGGCACGGTCAGCGCCAGCTCCTGGGGCTGCCTGTGGACAGACACGGGGACACGGGGACAGGCGGGCAGCTCCGCTCGTGGTCCCGGAGCACGGGAGGAAGGAGGAAAGGAAGCGTTCTTCCCTGCCCCGGCACGGGCCCCGGCTCCCCACGGCCGGAGCGGGCCCGTGCCCGGAGCCCCGGCGGGCCCCAGATCCCCGTTCCCGGGGGCACTGCGGGCGGGAAGCCCGCGGCATTGCGGCCGCGGAGAAGGGGCAGGCGGGCGGTGTTCTCTCCGGGGGGATGCGCTGGGGCCGGGGTGCCCGAGCCGGGGGCTCTGACCCCGCGGGGGGCGCGGGCGGCGCTGGGGCCCGGCGAGTTCGGGGGTCCCTGGGCGGGCCCGGCGCGTCCCCACGAGGACGGACGAGGGAAGCGCCGCCGTTCTCCCGGCCCCGGCAAAGCCCCGGCAGAGCCCCGGTCCGAGCGGCCCCGCCCGCCTCGGTCCCAGCGACCGCCCCGGAACGGCTCCTGCCGGCCGCGCCGGGGCAGATGCGCCGGTCCCGGTGCCCATCGTGCTCCCGAGCCCATTCCCAGCCCCAAGCCAACCTCGCTCCTCCGGCGGCGGTCCTGGCGCCGGTCCTCATCCCGATGCCGGTCCCGGTCGCCATCCCGATGCCGATCCCGGTCGCGATCCCGATGCCGGTCCCGATCCCGGTCCCGATGCCGGTCCCGGTCGCCATCCCGATGCCGAGCCCCGTCCGCAGCCTCGCTCCTCCGGTGCCGGCCCCGCTCACGGCCCGGGCTCGGCGCAGCGCCGGGAGCTGCCCCCGGGCCGTGAGCGCCGCTCGGTCCGTCCGCGCCCCGGGACGAGCGTCCTCCACAACAGCGGGGCGAGCGCGGTTCTGCCGCTTTTGAGCGGCGCGGCCGGGGCGGGGCCGGGGCGGGGCAGGGGCAGGACCCGACCATGTGAGCGGGGCGGGGCCCGCACAGGTGCGCGGGGAGGGGCCCGCACAGGTGCGCGGGGCGGGGACGGGCGGGGGCGGGTCGGGCCGGGGGTATTTAAGGGCGGACCTCGGCGGCGGTGCCATTTGCTCGGGGAGTGCGCGAGGAGCAGCCACGCCGCGGGGCCTCTCCCTGCCGCGGCTCTTTTTCTTGATTTTGGTTCGTAGCTTTTCTTTTAGTTTTGTCTTTTCTTTTACTCTTTCCCCTTTCCTTCGTCCCCTCCCTTCCTCCCCCCTACCCCCCACACCCCCCCAACCCCCCTCTCCCCTAGCCCCCCTCCCTCCCTCCCCAAACCGCTCGTCCCGGCCCGCAGAGGCACCCCGAGCCCACCACCCCTCGTTCCCGCCCCTCCGTCCTCCCTGGTTCTCCACCCCGCCTGGCCCTGCTGCCTCTCGGTCCCCTGGCGCACACCCCGATGGTCCCTGCCCCGCTTCCTCCCCCTCCGCCCTGGCTGTGCCCGCACGCCGCCTCCCCTGGTCCCGGTCGCTGCCCTCCTGCACACCCCGGGCCCCCGGCTCCTCCGGCCTCCCCTCCTCCCCATCCCTGCTCCGCCGCACCCCCCGACCCTCCGTGCCCCTGTCCCCCGTGCGCGCGTCCCCGCAGCCGCGGGCTTTGGTTTGGTTTGGGGGCGCCGGTTTAATAAAGCCGCCATGGCCCGACCCGGCGCCCCCCCTGGATCCCCCACACGGGGCCGGGCCCGCTCGGCGGGTCCCCCCATGCAGTTCACAAGCACCGCCCGACACGGCCGGGGCTCCGGCCCGTCCCGACATCACACTTGGGGCTCCGCGGGCGGGGGGGGTTCGGTCTCGGGAATAGACGTCTCTAGAGGTCTATTGCCGGGACCGAAGCCAGGGGCCGTTTGGGGCGGGGGGAGGCGGGCGGGCAGGGATGAGGGCCCTCCGGAGAGGGGGCTCGGGGGGCGGGAGGGGGACTCCCTCCGGGGGAGCGGGGTCCCGGGTGGAGGGGACGAGGGGGACTCTCTCCTCTGATCCCTCCCACCCCGAAACTCCCTGCCCTGGGGAGCGGTCAGGAGGACCCTCCGGGGGAGCGGGTCCCGGGGTGGAGGGGACGAGGGGGAGCTTCTCCTCTGACCCCTCCCATTCCAGGACTCCCTCCCCGGGGAGCGGTCAGAGGGACTCCTCTCCGGGGGAGCGGGGTCCTGGGGTGGGGAGGAGGGGGGAATTTCCCTCTGACCCCTCCCACTCCAAGACTCCCCCGGGGCGGTCGGGGCGGGGCCCTCTCCGGAGGAGGGGGTCCGAGGGGAGGGGGGAAGGAGGGGATTGGATCTCCCCCTCCCTCCTTTTTCCTCGCCCTCCTTTGGACCCCTCCTCGGGACGGGGCCTCGGGGGAGGGGGAGTGAGGAGGTGGAGGGTGGGAGGAGGGGGTGGGAGGGGGTGGGGGGGGGGTGGAGGGGAGGGGGTGGGAGGGGGGGTGGGAGGGAGGTGGGGGTGGGAGGGGGGGGGTGGGAGGGGGTGGGGGGGGGGTGGAGGGGGTGGGAGGGGGGGGGTGGGAGTGGGGGTGGGGGTGGGAGGGGAGGGGGAGAGCGTTGAAAAGAAATAGGATAATGAAATCAAGTGTCCACTCTTCCCACCTTCCCACCCCACCCCCTCCCACCCCCACCCCTCCCACCCCCCCCTCCCACTCCCACCCCCCCACCCCCCACCCCCTCCCACCCCTCCCACCCCCCTCCCACCCCCCCCCCACCTCTCCCACCCCCCACCTCCCCTCCCACCCCCCACTCTCCCCTCCCACCCCCCACCCTCCTCCCACCCCCCACCCCTCCACCCCCCACTCCCCCTCCCACCCCCACCCCCACCTCCCTCCCACCCCCCCCCCTCCCTCCCCACCCTCCTCCTCTCTCTCCCTCCTCCTCTCCTCCCCCGGAGGCCCCGTCCCGAGGAGGGGGTCCAAAGGAGGGGGCGAGGGAAAAGGAGTGGGAGGGGGTGACTTCTCCCTCTTCCTTTCCCCTCCTCCCGGACCCCTCCTCCGAGGGGGCCCTGCCTCGACCGCTCCCGGGAGGAGTCTTGGAGTGGGAGGGGTCAGAGAGGGAAACTCCCCCCTCGTCCCCTCCCACCCCAGGACCCCGCTCCCCGGGAGGGGGGTCCCCGACCGCTCCCCGGGGAGGAGTCCTGGAATGGAGGGGTCAGAGGGGGAAACTCCTCGTCCCCTCCCACCCCGGGACCCCGCTCCCCCGCAGGGGGGTCCCCCTGACCGCTCCCCGGGGCAGGGAGTTTCGGGGTGGGAGGGATCAGAGGGGGAGAAGTCCCCCCTCGTCCCCTCCCACCCCGGGACCCCGCTCCCCCGGAGGGGGGTCCCCCTCGCCCTCCCCGAGCCCCCTCCTCCGGAGGGGGCCTCATCCCCTGCCCGCCCGCCTCCCCGCCCCAAACGGCCTCTGGCTGGTCCCGGCAATAGACCCTAGAGACGTCTATTCCCGAGACCGAACCCCCCGCCCGCGGAGCCCCAAGTGTGATGTCGGGACGGGCCGGAGCCCCGGCCGTGTCGGGCGGTGCTTGTGAACTGCATGGGGACCTGCCGAGCGGGCCCGGCCCCGTGTGGGGATCCAGGGGGGCGCTGGGTCGGGCCATGGCGGCTTTATTAAACCGGCGCCCCCAAACCAAACCAACCAAGCCCGCGGCTGCGGGGACGCGCGCACGGGGGACAGGGGCACGGAGGGTCGGGGGGTGCGGCGGAGCAGGGATGGGGGAGGAGGGGGAGGCCGGAGGAGCCGGGGGGCCCGGGGTGTGCAGGAGGGCAGCGACCGGGACCAGGGGGAGGCGGCGTGCGGGCACAGCCAGGGCGGAGGGGGAGGAAGCGGGGCAGGGACCATCGGGTGTGCGCCAGGGGACCGAGAGGCAGCAGGGCCAGGCGGGGTGGAGAACCAGGGAGGACGGAGGGGCGGGAACGAGGGGTGGTGGGCCTGGGGTGCCTCTGCGGGCCGGGACGAGCGGTTTGGGGAGGGAGGGAGGGGGGGCTAGGGGGAGAGGGGGGTTGGGGGTGTGGGGGTAGGGGGAGGAAGGGAGGGGACGAAGGAAAGGGGAAAGAGTAAAAGAAAAGACAAAAATAAAAGAAAAGCTACGAACCAAAATCAAGAAAAAGAGCCGCGGCAGGGAGAGGCCCCCGCGGCGTGGCTGCTCCTCGCGCACTCCCCGAGCAAATGGCACCGCTGCCGAGGGCCGCCCTTAAATACCCCCGGCCCGACCTGCCCCCCGCCCGTCCCCGCCCCGCGCACCTGTGCGGGCCCCTCCCCGCGCACCTGTGCGGGCCCCGCCCCGCTCACATGGTCGGGTCCTGCCCCTGCCCCGCCCCGGCCCCGCCCCGGCCGCGCCGCTCAAAAGCGGCAGAACCGCGCTCGCCCCGCTGTTGTGGAGGACGCTCGTCCCGGGGCGCGGACGGACCGAGCGGCGCTCACGGCCCGGGGGCAGCTCCCGGCGCTGCGCCGAGCCCGGGCCGTGAGCGGGGCCGGCACCGGAGGAGCGAGGCTGCGGACGGGGCTCGGCATCGGGATGGCGACCGGGATCGGGACCGGCATCGGGATCGCGACCGGGATCGGGACCGGCATCAGGATGGTGACCGGGACCGGCATCGGGATCAGGACCGGCGCCAGGACCGCCAGCGGAGGAGCGAGGTTGGCTTGGGGCTGGGAATGGGCTCGGGAGCACGATGGGCACCGGGACCGGCGCATCTGCCCCCGGCGCGGCCGGCAGGAGCCGTTCCGGGGCGGTCGCTGGGACCGAGGCGGGCGGGGCCGCTCGGGCCGGGGCTCTGCCGGGGCCCGGGGCCGGGAGAACGGCGGCGCTTCCCTCGTCCGTCCTCGTGGGGACGCGCCGGGCCCGCCCCGGGACCCCCCGAACTCGCCGGGCCCCCAGCGCCGCCCGCGCCCCCCCGCGGGGTCAGAGCCCCCCCGGCTCGGGCACCCCCGGCCCCAGCGCATCCCCCCCGGAGAGAACACCGCCCGCCTGCCCCTTCTCCGCGGCCGCAATGCCGCGGGCTTCCCGCCCGCAGTGCCCCCGGGAACGGGGGATCTGGGGCCCGCCGGGGCTCCGGGCACGGGCCCGCTCCGGCCGTGGGGAGCCGGGGCCCGTGCCGGGGCAGGGAAGAACGCTTCCTTTCCTCCTTCCTCCCGTGCTCCGGGACCCCGAGCGGAGCTGCCCGCCTGTCCCCGTGTCCCTGTGTCTGTCCACAGGCAGCCCCAGGAGCTGGCGCTGACCGTGCCGCGGCTCGGGCACAGGCTGGGCCCGCCTCTGCCTTCGCAACGGCCGCAATTTCCCACAGCGATTCTTTGGCCTGCGATCCAGAAGCTGCAGCTCATCTGACAGCTGCCAGGTGAGACCTGAGGCTCTCCTTCCTCTCCCCCACTTTCTCTGGAGATCGCACCCTCCCGCGGCAAAGCCTCCGCTTTGAAAAATCCCACCCAAACATTGCATCTTTCTTTGCAGACGGGCAAGGTCCTGCCTGGCCGGGAAAGGGCTCCAGGAGAGGAAACCCACAAATGCTCCGAGCGGACGCTGCGGCGCGAGTCACAGGAGGCAAGGAGCGCGGGGAAATGCTGTCGGCAAATGCGCCTTTATTCAATGTGGGCAGCTCTCGCTCCTCTCCACGAGCCCTTGGCAGGCCCGGGCCGGAGGGAGCGCGGCCGGCTGGGCTGTGCCCGGCTGGGGACGGGCACGAACTCGTGCTTGCCGTGCTCGGGGAGCTTTTCGTGCCCCGTCCGGGATTTGCCCAGCGGCTGTCGAGGTGCTGGCGGGTGACGGCCCTTGCCAGGGACAAAGCAGCCCGCCGAGTGCGGAGGGTTCCCTCGCTCCGAGGCACGGGCGTTTGGCCGAGGGTCGCCGTCTGGTCCCGCCTGCAGGGGACCTGCTCACCTCCAGGTGAGCGCTTGCAAGCCAAAATGCCGGGGGGCGGGGGGGATGCCGGCTCGGGGCCGCTTTTCGGGCCCGGAGCTGGACGGAGCCCTCGGCGGCTCCTGCTTCCTGCCAGGAATGTTCTCGGGGCTCCCTGTGCGCTCCGGAGCAGCCGGGCAGGGAAGGCGGGCCGGCAGGAGGACGGAGCAGCAGGCAGCGAGCCGGCCCTCCTTGCGCTTCCTCTTGGCAGGGGACGGAGGAGCCGTGCCCTGCACTGCCCTGCTCCGGAGCGTCCGGAGCTGGGGGAATCCCACCCGCAGCCGCGGCACTGCCAGCACAGCTCGTGGCAGCAGGGATGGAGCAGCTCCGGGCCAGCCCTCGCAGCGGGCACGAGCTGGATTTGTCTGCCAGGCACGGCTCGTCTGCAAAACACACAGCCCGGGGCTGGGAACCCGGCCACGGGCACCGGGGTGGGCACGGAGAAAGGGCTGCCCGCGGCTCCTCAGACAGGAGCCAAAGCAGATGCCACCTGTCCAGGCTGGTGGGCAGCACTCGGAGCCACTCTGGGGGAAACCCCCTGGACCTGCCAGGAGCTCGGAGTCTGCCCTGCCAGCTCCTGATGGGTGGCAGGGCCACCGGGAGGGATTCAAAGAAACCCCAAAGCTTACCGAGGGACTCACCCAGAGGAAGAGAGCCATTGCTGTCATAAAAAGCTTGGAAAGCTGGTCAAAAGCCTAGGACGACAATACTGGGATTCCCAGGCCCCTTCTTAGTGGTTCCATGTGAATGTCTTTTTAGTCCCTCCATTAGCAGCTTGCAGAACTTACCCCGGGATTCAGAGGCTGAGCAGGGTTTGCTTTGGGTTGCCTCGCCCCTCTGGCCCCAGCTGCTGCAAACACAAGTGGGGCCAAGGCGGTTAAACACACTTGCCCCCCAAAACAGTTGCTGCATCCCTTAGAAATTACCCCAGGTTTTCCGAGATAAATGTCACCTCTGTCCTCCCTCGGTTATCCCAGGTTTTCCCGGCTGGGAGCTGCAAGGAATTCAGGCCAGTGAAGCCACACCGAGGAACAGCTGTACATTCAAAGGCACAAAGACAAGATCTAGCAGCAAAAGGCAGAAAGAAGGGGAAAGGTTTCAGAAAACGTCTCTGCAATCTAATTCCTAACTCTTTCCAGTTTCCCAGTGAGAAGAACAGGAACTCACAGCCACTAAGGCCTGACAGTCCCCTGCAGCCAGAGCTCCATCTCAGCACACTCCCTTGGCGATGGTGTGCTTTAATTAACCACCTCAAACCAACACATGAAAACCAAATCAATATTCTATTCTTCTTTTTAATCGAGAGATAGATAAAGATTGCAGAATACAAAAGAACCTTCTTAGCCCCAAAAACTCTTAAAAGAGACAGACAGGGCACGGCTGCGCTGTGGATGGGCTTTAAGGTCCCTTGCTACCCAGACCGCTCCCGGATTGCACAGAAGAGGGCAGATGCTCAACTTTGAGCTGCTAAGTTTAGGGAGTCAACTAAAGGACCAAATTTAAGTCCAAGCCTCTAATACTTTATGGAATACTAAAATCTCTGCAAGTCTGAAATGAAAGAGTACACCCGCTAAGGCTTGGACCTTCTGCACCGGCTTGTAACAAAGAGCCACCTCTAGAAAGCAAGAAGCACTTAGAAAGTCAAGAAAAGGGCCCAAATTAGCAAATTCCCAAATGCTGGGGCGTCTGAACATTGCACTGTAATGAGGTGACCCACTCACCTGACAGGTGACTGCCAGGCTGGGACAGAGCTGTGTCTTCCCGCTACGGAACTCCCCGAGCCACTCTGGTACGGACCCTGTTTCTGTTCCTCCCGAAGGGAAGAGAATAACAATAATAATTAGCAATAAAGATTACAAACAAAACCCACGTACAAAACATTGCAAAAGACAGAGGCTCAGTAAAACCCTTCCTTGGGCCAAAAGTTTCAAAATTAATTGGCAAAACTTGCTGTCATCCTGAGATTTGGTCCCGTTGCAGAGAAAAGGTTTGGGTGTGTTTTTGAAGATGCTGCGGAGCTGAAATCGTTTGGTTCATTTTTGGATCACCAGATAAATGGGGAGACGGTGATCCCTGGTTTTGTGTTCTTGAAATACATCCCACGCTAGAATAAACCAGAAAGGTCCCCAAATGGACAGCTCTGGCTCTTGCCTTGTGACTCAAAGGCTTTCCAACTCTTTCTGCAGCTTTTCAAATGGAAACAGTTCCACAAGAGCAGCACTCGAGGAGATTTTTCACTTAAGCACAACTTGTTCTCTGGGATTCTGTGCGAGGATCGTGTTCCCAGTAAAAAGCCCACCCCAACAACGCAGGCTAAGCGGTAAAGAGCAATCGAGTGATTCCCTTGAAGCAGTTTGTGCAGGTCCTCGGAGCCAGTGGTGATCTGCATGATCTCCGACCTCCGCTGGTGGAATTCCGTGGCCAAACCCACGGGAACCGGTTGGGCTGGCTCAGCCTGAGGGAAAACCAAGCAGAGCGGTGCCAGGAGAGCTCCCCTGTTCATTAACCCCCAGGAATTAATATTTCCTGCTTTGGGGAGTAGCACCTGTATCACTCCCCGCCCCTTTTAGTTTCCAGACTGGGCGCTAGTTGGTACCTCTGAAGAGAAGTGAAATTGTGCTGCAGGAGAAGGCTCCACCATCTATTTGGTGTGTTTTATGGAAATAGTTTCCCCTCGCCACCCACCCTTCCGGTTCAGCTCTGTCCCGGTGGGTTTTGTCCCTTCTCGTCAGAAGCCGTGTCGCACCTCTAAGCACCTTGCCTGCCCTTTGGAGACCTTCCAAATCCACCCCAACTCTTCAAGCCGGCAGAAAGAAGCTTGTGGAATATCTTGGCTCAATGTTCCACAACATCCTTCCCGGGATTTGGTCAGCTTTGGCTTCGCTGATGCCTTTGATGTTCAGCAGCTCCTTCTTTGGTGCACAAGCCACGGCCTCCACGGTGTGAAATCCAGCCTCTTGCAGCTTCTTCACATCCTTGGCATTTCCACCACATTGCTGGCAGGGAGGGAGGGGGCAAAAAGGGACACATTTTCGTTATTTTGGATTGTTGGGTGGGTTGTTTTGGGGTTTTTTTGACAGAACACAAGTAAGAATTTAGCGAGAGTTTTCAGACACACCTTGCTTTTAAAGGAAGAGGCTTACGCGGGATATTGGGAAGGAATTCTTGGCTGTGAGGGTGGGGAGGTCCCGGCACAGGTTGCCCGGAGAAGCTGTGGCTGCCCCTGGATCCCTGGAAGTGTCCGAGGCCAGGTGGGACGGGGCTTGGAGCAAGCTGGGCGAGTGGAAGGTGTCCCTGCCCATGGCAGGGGGGTGGGACTGGAGGGGCTTTAAAATCCCTGCCAACCCAACCCAAGCCAAGCCAGTGTGGGATTCCATGAAAAAGAGCAGCAGATCTCAGGAAAACTTCCTGCCGAGGCAAGTGCTCTCCTGCCTCCAGCCTGGATACGAGCTGTGGCCCAAAGCTCTCCTCCTCTGCCGACGTGTCCGCGTTGGCCTCCGGCTGCATCTGCGTGGCCCTGGCAGCGAGGGGCCGGGACCCCCTGGAAGGGACCAAACCTCCCAGGATCCCGTTGGAGCAAGAGCTCACGAGGTAACACGAGTGCCAGCCGTGGAATTCTTGCGGCTGGAAGAGCCCTCTGAAGTGGCACCTGCTGTTGTGGCTGGGCTGTGCCCCAGAGCCGCCCTCGGGACAGCCACCCACACCTTGGCAAGGGCTGGAAGGGGATCCAGAGCCTTCGGAGGATGTGTCCCACCCGCAGCCGCGGCACTGCCAGCACAGCTCGTGGCAGCAGGGATGGAGCAGCTCCGGGCCAGCCCTCGCAGCGGGCACGAGCTGGATTTGTCTGCCAGGCACGGCTCGGCTGCAAAACACACAGCCCGGGGCTGGGAACCCGGCCACGGGCACCGGGGTGGGCACGGAGAAAGGGCTGCCCGCGGCTCCTCAGCCGGGGCTGCTCTGAACGGGCACCCTGAGATGCCTCGCCCTGGACACACCCCAGCCACTGCCCAGAAGTCCCCAAAGAATCCGGCTCGGCGTGGCTGCAGAGCAGCACAGGCAGCGATTCCCAGTGCCCACCTCCCAGAGCTCCCATGCGCCCCCCACCCCAAAATGTGTGTCCCACCCCCCCAAAGCCCTGCCCTTCCAGCCCGAGGCCCTTCCAGCCTGAGCCACTGCACCTCGCAGGGTTCATTCTGGACCCTGCAGATGACCTCAAATATTTCTGCCCTAAATGTCCCCACCTGCCCACCACTGCTCACCTCAGCTGACAGCGTGCTGTCCTTTCTCTCCCCTGGAGATAAAACCTCGTTCTAAACCCCCAGGGTTTGAACTCAAAATATCCATTCTCTGCCCTGGACATTACCTCACGTTGGACCCCTACAGTTTCCCCCAGATGTCCACAACTGATCGCCCCAGTTGACCCCATGAGCTGCATTCTCTCTGCTCCACGTGACCTCACATTTTACCAACAAACATCTTCCCTCCCTGCCCACCACTGACTACCTCACTTTACCCAAGGTGTTCATTCTCCCTGTGACAGATTGCCCAGATTTGACTCCCCAAATTCTCCTTCCCTACCCACAGGTAATCAGCTCATCTGTACAAATCCATGTGCGTTCCCTACTCTGTGGACTACCCCAAGTTTACCCTAAAAGCACTGCCCAACTCTCCACCACTGAGTACCTCATTTGTCCTTAAAAATATTCATTCTCCACACTGGATGGTACCCCAAATTTTTCCCCCAAAACTTTTGCCTTCCTCTCCACTCCTGACGGCCTCAGGTCACCCCAGAATGCTCATTCTCTCTGCTACACATTGCCCCAGATTTTCCCCCAGATTTTCCCTACCTGCTCCCCACTGACTGCCTCAGTGTCCATCACGATGGACATTCTCCCTGCTACAGATGACCTCAGACCATACCCACAGCATTTTCTCGACCTCTCCACAGCTCACCAACTCCCTCAGACATCAAGATTTTCATTCTCTACCCAGCACAATACCTCAAGTTTACTCTCAAAACCTCCCCCACCTGTCCACCACCCAGCAACTCATTTTCACCTCAGAAGATTCACTCTCTGCCCTGGAGATTACCGCAAGTTTTACCCCCAGCATTTCCCTGCAGGTCCCCAAGGTTTACCCCAGTTTACCCCAAAATGTCCATTCTCTCTCCTCCACATCACCTCTGATTTTACAGACAGGAAGTTTCCCTCCCTGCCCACCACTTGGCTGCCTCACTGTGCCTCAAAATGCTCATTTTCTCCCCTCGGTGACATCCAGATTTACCTTCACTCTTATCCCTGCCTGCAAACTACTTATTACCTCATTTGGACCTTCTAAAATTTGTCCTCTGCCACAGAGAATTCCTCATACTTTTCCCCAAAAACCTCCTTACCTGTCCACTCCTGATTTCCCCAGTTTAACCCACGAGGTACATTCTCTCTGCTGCAGAGTACCTCAGGCATGACAAACCAAAATTTCCCTCCCTGCCCACTCCTGACTGCCTCACTTTACCCCAAATGTGCATTCTCTCTGGGACAGATTGCCTCAGATTTTACTCCCAACATTTTCCTCACCTACCCACTTGTAAGCAGCTCATATCTGTCTAGAGAGGGTCATTCTCCACCCCACAGACCACCTCAAGCTCTTCTCAAACTTTCCCTACCTGTCCTCCACCCAGTGCCTCATCTTCACCTCAACAGATTCTCTTCCCAGGTCATTACCTGGAGTTTAACACCCACAATTTTCTGATTACATCCTTTTGAACACCAAATAGTCATTCTCTCCCGTAGAGATTACCTCCTGTTTAACCCCCAAAGGCTTCCCTACGTGCACACTACTGATCATCTCTTTTTGATCTCCAAAGATTCGTTCTCTGCCCTGGAGATTTGATCAAGTTTTCCCCTCAAAAATTTCTCTGCCTCTCCAGTACCGACTGATCCAGTTTATTCCAAAATGTTCCTTCTCTCTGCTGCTCATTGCCACAGATTTTACCCCCAGAATTTTCCCTACAAGTCCACCACTGAGTGCCTCATTTTCACCTCTAAATGTTCATTCTCTGCCGTGCAGATTGCCTCAGATATTTCCCCCCACCCAACTTTCCCTACGTGCCCACTACCGATGAGCCCGGTTTACCTCCCGTCTCTTCTGTCCCGGCCCACGAGGCTGCCGAGGAAGGAGGGCCCGGGGAGTGCCCAGTGCCGACGGCTGCAGCCAGAGCTCAGCACACATCCAGAGAGGCAATTCCATCACCTCAAAGGAAAACAGAAGAAAAAAGGGATTTACTTGGTCTGAAAGTTCTTTGGAGCTCTTTCAAACAAACCAAGACTCGCTTTGGTCTGAGTTGGGTGCACAGTGAGCGGTGGGCACGGGGCACGGCATCGATGCCCACGGGGATGGTGCTTTCTGGGGGACAGAAAACCTCAGCAGGCAACAAAAGGCAGCAGCGTCTGTCGCCCTGAGCCTCCTCCAACTCAGCCTGAGGGCCCAAACCTCAAGCCCTGCCGGGAAACACTGCCCTTGGCGGCGTCAGTGTGGAGCACAGCCCTCACTCTGCCCTTGCCACGCTCCCAGCTCACCCCACGTTCCGCACAGGGGCCAAAGGCCACTGGGGCCGGGGCTCTCTCTGTCTCTGCAGCCACCAGGGCGCTCCAGCACGGACAGCCTGGACCCAGAGCAGATCCCTCGGGATTAGCAGCGTCCCGGGGGTACCTGGAGACACAAAGCACCAGCCTCTGGGGCTGCCACTTCATTTCCACCACACACAGCCTGCCAAATTTAGAGATGCAGCTCTCTGACCACAAAACCCAGTTCTGACCCAGTTCTCCTGGGCACCCACACCGACTCCACAAACCCCACAAGAATGAGAATGTTCTGCTGCTTTGACAAACTTCACCTCAGCTTTTTTTAATTATTATTTTTGCCGTGAAGAACAGGAGTTCCTTGTTTTCCTTAACACTCTGGGACTGTAGGACCTAATCTTTGCAAACAAGTGACAATAGAGATGTTACTCCTACTTAAACCTCTCCCGCGTTGTTCTGCCTCAGAGAACTGGGCCAGCCCTGAGCTACTTCCATGTGCCTGCAGAGCTTTGGGGAGGGGCAAGACAGTGTCCCACTTCTGCTTGGAAACCTTCCAGATGAGGAAAAGCCACTTCCCCTCTCTCTCTGACTCGGAACCAAAGCAGTCCTGTAGTCCTGTAGTTTAGAAATAGATCCCTTCCCTGCTACTCGCTCCTTCCTTACACATCCACGGAGCACGTTTGCTCCACCCTTTGTTCCCAAGCACAGCTCTCCAGCCCGAATCCCAGCTCCAGACACAAACTAAACACACCTAAGGCAATGGTTCCATCAGCTCCTGGCATTCTGAGCTCCCCGTTCCCTGCAATGCTCATGCCAACACTCCCTGCCATCTCACCTCAGCCCACAGGCTCTGTGTCCTCTGAGGGAAACACAGCCCGGTGGGACACAGCTCTGGCACCGCCTTTCCTCTCATTCCGGCTGTCCTGCAAACCCCTGGGGAAATCCAATCCCTCAGACCCTGCATCCCTGGGCACGAGGGCACCTGGAGTGTGAGCGGATCCCGGCGCCCTGGACGAGCGTCTGCCCACGAGCACGAGCCCGTGGCTCCATCCAGCCCATCCAGCCCCCCTTTCCCTGCAGGGAGTCCCAAACCCTGCCCCAGCTCCCCTGCGTCTGTGCCACGGCCCAGCCCAGCTCCAGCCCTGGCAGAGCTGCAAACACCGCCCGGGCTCCTGAACCCCCAAACCAATGCTCAGGCTCCCCCACGGGGACCCGCCCGCCCCTCTCAGCACAGCCCGACCCCACAGCTCTGGGACCCCAGCGGCACCCGGCCCTTCGCCCCTGCCTCTGCACCCTTCCCAGCACACACGGCAAGGACCAGCCCGCAGCGGGAAAAAGAGCCCTTGCCCAGGGAGCAAATGCCAAGAGGCAGGAGAAGGGAAACGTGTCCCTCTGACTTACCCCACCCCACGGGCAGGACCAGGAGCCCCCAGCACGGCCGGCGGGTTTGGAGCCTCTTGCCTTTGGCTGCTCACACCCCCAGGCATTGGGCACAGCTGGGCTGAATTCAGGGCTTTGGCCTGTCCTGAAAGAGAGCAGAACAAGACAGGTAAGTGCACTGGGCAACTCAAAGGCTCCTCTTCTTCACCCTTCTCTTCTGCTTGCTCACTAGAGGCTTTCATCCAGGAGAAATCCAGGGGGACACCAAAGGAAATGCGACCTTTGCCAGCATTTGTATTCCTCTCTGTTTCAGGCACTAAAAGGAGGCTCCTTTTTCTTCCTGCATTCCTTGCCCAATGGGAACAGAACCCTTCTCATTCCAAACCCCCCTTGGGAGTTACTCAGTCCTCTGCCATTGGACTTCTTTGGACAAAGGCAGAGACACCTGGGATGCTGGAGCCCAGGAAATCAGGGAGAGAAACCTGGCAGGGAAAGGTTTCAAGGCAGCCCAGAACTCCGAAATATGTTGGTGCCTTGCCAGGCCACCCCAATCCTGTGGCACCCAGCCGAGCTGGGCAGCTGAGGCCAAGGCTCCCCTTCCTCCTGGCAATGGCTGTGGCCACGCACCAAGGCCCGTGCTGGGCAGCACTTGGGAAAACTTGGGAAAGGCAACAGGAAAACGGCACTGCCTGTCAGAAAACGAGTGCCCACCAACACACCTTTGGGCCAAAGGGAATAACATCACTCTCCTCCAAGAAACACAGGCCAGGCAGGGCTCTCCAGCCCAGGGCACAACAGGCAGGAGAACTGCAGGGAACACAGGGAGACACGGGCAGGCATTGCCACTGATTCCCTGCAGCCCTCTCTGCACTTGGGGCTCCTGGCTCTTGAGTTGGAAACAATGGGGGGGCAGCAGAGCAGGAGTGCCCCTCAAAAACAGGGGCCTTGGCACCTGGAGCATCAGAGGAGGGCAGCTGGGAGGGGAGAGCCGGAGAGAGAACAGCAAGGGGGTTTGTTCAGGACCAGGCTGTACGTCCAGCAGTGCTGGCAACTGCAAACACGGGATGCTGTGGGAATGCAGGGGGGGAGCACGGGCCTGGCTTGGATGGAGCCTTTTGCCCTTTGCTCAGGGGCCTCAGCTCCACCCTCTGAGAGCAGCAGAGAACTGCTGAGGGCAAGAGGTCATTTAGGCACAAGTCAGGGATGCAGCCGCTGGGCAAGGGGAAGAGGAACTGACACCAAAATCACACAATCACCACTGGAGTGAGACTTTATTGAGCTGCAACACAAAGACATTGACAGCAGGCCAGGGCAAGAGGTGCACACAGGACCACCAACACAGCAGCTGGGCGTGCAGGAACAGCCTCTCCTCAAGTTATGGAGCCAGGGGCTGACAGGTGGGAGCCATCCTGGGGGACTGGAGAGCACTCAGGCATCAGAGACAAGTCCTGCCTGCTCACTGCAGACAGTTCAGCCCCAGCACCAGGGGGACTTTGTGCCTCTCCCTCCAAGAGGATTTGGGACCCAACAGCTCCTTGCTGAGGAATTTTATCTTCATGAATGTTTGACAAAGTTGAGCTTCAGGACAACTGGGGCACTTTTCATTATTCCTGACTCTTCCAGGGCTGCACTTGCCAGGATGATTTGGGCACAAGGATCCTTCCAGACTACCCCAAACCCTCACAGCCCACTTGCTCTTCTTGCCACAGTTGGAGCAGCTCAGTGTCCCTGTAGGAAGAGAAAATTCAATGATTCTCTCTGAAAACAGAACCTCCCCCACTTTGCTTTCCCATTCCATGTGTTGTTAAATTGTAACCAGGTTGTGGGACTCATTCCCAGCCTCCTGAGGTTCATTTCCCACCTCACTCGTGGCTGCACTAGAGATGCTTCTACACACACACAGAAGGAGCTGCTGCAGCTTGTCCAGTTTCCTGCTTCTCCTTCCAATTCCTCCAGCTCTTTGCCCAGCTCTCCAGGGTCCATTCCTTTGCCCACTGGACTTGTTCCCAGCCCCAGGGCTGCCAGGGCCACCCTGGGCTCTCCCCTGCCCTCACACTGAGGGACCTTTCCCAGCCCCGAGTCCAGCCAGCACTGACCCAGCTGCTGGCAGCTGCAGTTCTCCCTGCTTGGACCAGGCTGGCAAGGATCCATGTCCAGAATAAAGACAAGCACAACAGTCATTCAAACACTACAAAATATCCTTTATTGCAGTGAGAGTTAAAAACAAAACTATTAGCAAAGAGAATCAAAAGTTAAAAAGAATACAAAAAAACTACTTTATCTCTTGGTGTTCATACAATGCTACGAACAGCCTCTATTAAAGTATTAGTTAGTGCAAGGGGAATTAAAGGGATCCAATATTAGCTAGTACAAAGGGAATTAAAGGGATCCAATATTAGCTAGTACAAAGGGAATTAAAGGGATCCAATATTAGCTAGTACAAAGGGAATTAAAGGGATCCAATATTAGCTAGTACAAAGGGAATTAAAGGGATCCAATATTAGCTAGTACAAAGGGAATTAAAGGGATCCAATATTAGCTAGTATAAAGGGAATTAAAGGGATCCAAGGAAAAGGATGTGAAGTGTTTGCTTTCTGGGTTCTTCCTCTCACTAAACTGTGCTCCCCTGCACAGACAGGCCAGGGCTCCCAGGCTCTGCAGGGCTGGGCGGCACTCATGCTTAGCGGGCGTCCCCGCCAGCAACACAGTGTCGATGGAAGGATGAGCATCGCTCCAGCCAGCAGTCCTGACACCCCATGGATCAGCTCCACATTACACTACGTAGGGCCAGGACGTAGTATAAGGTGATGCTGGAGTGGCAGCCAAACAGCGCCCGTTCCTCACCTCATGGCAACAGTCTGTGCGTGCCCCACTGCAGGGCAAGGGGCCAACCACCCACGAGAAGTGGCAGAGCCAGAGCTCTCCTCAGGGAATGCCTGAGCTGCCTAAAGGCTGCCCTTGCACCATCTATCCAAGGCAGCAAACTCTTACAGGTGGTTTCCAAAGTTTGCATCAGTCTTACCACACATCCAGAGGGAGCAATGCAGAGTCCTCACCATCCTCCCATTCCCAGGAAGGCACTTCATGCACTGGCTGTGGCTCAGGGAGGACTCAGGTGGCTTCTTTTCTTCCTTCCTCATTTCTGGATTTTCTCCTTCAAAAGCAAAGGTTTCTTGGCTTGCCTTCCTCCTGGAGATGCAGCAAAAGGCATCTTGAAATCTAATACTGGCATGCTGATATTAAAGGATACTGGGGTTGTCTTACCCATACAGATCCCAGCTTAGGGCTAATACCTACAGGGTCTGCCCTTGTCCATTCTCCTGGAATTCCACTGGCCCACACCACAGGAACAACTCCATCTGCCACTCCAGTCGGGACGGTGCTGCTGACAGGAGTTATTTCCTGCACGAGAAGAGCAGCTGCTCTCACACAGTTAGTTTCAGCAACTACAATTCAATCAACTCACCAGTTTTGAATTTAATACCTGCCTCAACTTCTCCAACCAATCTCTTCCTGGCAGTGGTTTGGGTAACTCTGGCAAATAGACATTCTGAGGAATTCCCCAAGGGTTTCCCACTTTAACCCCTGTCACACCAAACACCTTCACAGTGCCATTCCTGAATTCTCCCTCTGTTGTGTTAGAGATAGAGGAAGCTGTACCTTTGTCTGAACAGGACTTGTGCAAACCAAATGCTGGGACTGGAACCCACACCTTGCACTCCTGCAACTCTCACAATTCCACTCCAGACAGAACACCCAATGGTACCATCACCACTCATTCCTTAATCCCAATCCCACACTTCTTTTGCAGTCAGAGCACCACTTTTAGAACCCAATTACAGCCCATCCCAGAGCTCCATGGCCAGGACGGACAGCTACACCTCTGATACTCTCAGGAATGCCTCAATCCATTGCAGGGACCTTGCTTGGAGCTCCCCAGCTCGGGGCACCCAGAGGAGCTCCCCGAAGAATCCTTTGGGTGCGCGCTCGAGTCCTCGGGGTGCCCCAGCCCGGGGGGCACCAACAGCACTGTCCCTCCAGGGGCCCAATCTGCTCCCAAAAGGCAGGGGCATCGTGCCCGTGTCCCACACTGCTCCGGGGATCTGAGGGCCTTCCCGAGAACACCTCGGTGCCGGCGTGAAGGCCCAGAGATCCCTGGGAACCACGGGACAGCAGGCACAGAGTCCCTGCTGGGGCCCATTTGGCTGCCTGAAAGCAGCTCGGCAAAGAAGCCTCTCACACTCAGCTGGGCAGTTTTACAAGCCAGGCATTCCTTGCTGACAGCACCCTGCAATCATCCCAGCCCACTGCCTGTCCTGGCCATCAGCTCCCACAGTGCACACAGAGGGGTCTCCACTGCAGATGAGGGGAGGGATCAGCATTACAGGAGGTTTCACTTTGTTCCCTGCATTCCTGTTCCACACTCAGGACATTGCCCAGCACTTATTACCATCCACACCTACCTTGGAAGGTATTTGAGGGGCTCCTCCAAGGGGCTTCCACGGTCTTCTCTGTCTGGAGTCCCCAAAGTCCCAAGGGCCTGCCTTAGGAACCTCAAGACAACTCACCTGCTCACAGAGGAACTTGGGGCTGCTTGGCTGCTGCCTCACTTCCCTTCTTCCTTCTTTCTTCACCTCCCTGGATCAGTCCCTTTCAATCCCCTGGCTCGGCTCTCTGCACTTTCCATGCCACAGCCCCCTGCAAAAAGTATCAGCTCTTGTTACACCTCAAAAACCAGACAGCATCCCCCCTGTTCTCCTGACACTTGGCCATTAGGTCCAAGTCTCCTTCTTTAAAGCACAGTTGGACTCCTGACTGACTACAACAGCTACAGCCCTGAATCATAACACAGGCTGAGGGACAAACACGCAGGAGAACTTGGAAGGATCCACTTTGTTCTGCTGACCAAACAAAGGAGCTTTCCTAACCCAAGAGAAAGATGCCCAAGGTCACTTTTGTGCCACTTGAACTGCTAGAAATGGGATCAACAAGGCCTGCAAAGGCCCTTTCCACTTCACCTGCAGGGGCTGGCAGTCCCACCACTTGACAGGGACCCAAGGGCTGGGCAGGAACGCACGGGCTGGGGCGTCCAATCCATCGGCCGAGGCGTCACCGTCAATTCCTGGAGTTCCTGCTGGGCACATCCTAAAGCCAGCAAACAATTAGCAAGACCATTTTGTGCCTTTCACGTCAATATTCCCTGCAAGATGGGGAGCTTGATAAGGTCTCCTGGTGCAACAAGGACAGACTTATGGCCATCTATTCAAAGGCTCTACTAGCACTGAAAAGCTATCACTGTCCTCCTGCCAGGGCTAACTCAGCAAACCCTGTTTGCCAGGAGCCTCCAGGAGCATTGCCAGCTTTTGAGGCTCCCTTTTTTCCCCACAGCTGGAGCTGGGACTATCACCTGCTCTACAAGGGGAACAGCCCAGAAAGTTAACTGGGAGGGATGCCAGTCACTCCAAGTCCCTTGTCAGGGCTGCTCTCTGCACACCTTGTTCTTTGTTTTCCCTCCCAAACCAAGGGGCTTCCAACAGTTCAAAGAGATGTGGCAGAGCCAGAGCTCTCCTCAGGGACTGCCTGAGCTGCCTAAAGGCTGCCCTTGCACCATCTACCCAAGGCAGAAAACTCCTACATGGGGTTTCAAAACTTTGCATCAGTCTTACCACACATCCAGAGGGAGCAATGCAGAGTCCTCACCATCCTCCCATTCCCAGGAAGGCACTTCATGGTCTGGCTGTGGCTCAGGGAGGACTCAGGTGGCTTCTTTTCTTCCTTCCCCATTTCTGGATTTTCTCCTTCAAAAGCGAAGGTTTCTTGGTTTGCCTTGTTCCTGGAGATGCAGCAAAAGGCATCTTGTAAATCTACTACTGGCATTCTGATTTTAATGATACTGGGGCTGTCTTACCCACACAGATCCCAGTTTAGGGCTAATACCTACAGGGTCTGCCCTTGTCCATTCTCCTGGAATTCCACTGGCCCACACCACAGGAACAACTCCATCTGCCACTCCAGTCGGGACGGTGCTGCTGACAGGAGTTATTTCCTGCACGAGAAGAGCTGCTGCTCTCACAGTTAGTTTCAGCAATTACAATTTCAATCATCTCCCCATTGTTCAATTTAATACCTGCCTCAACTTCTCCAATCAATCTCTTCCTAGCAAAAGCTTAGGAGAGCTTGCAAATAGACCAACTGAGGAATTCCCCAAGGGTTTCCCACTTTAACCCCTGTCACACCAATCACCTTCACAGTGCCATTCCTGAATTCTCCCTCGGTTGTGTTAAGGATGAGGAAGCTGGACCTGTGTCTGACCAGGACATGTGCAAACCAAATGCCGGGGACTGGAACCCACACCTTGCACTCCTGCAGCTCTCACAATTCCACTCAAGACAAAACACCCAATGGTACCATCACCACTCATTCCTTAATCCCAATCCCACACTTCTTTTGCAGTCAGAGCACCACTTTTAGAACCCAATTACAGCCCATTCCAGAGCTCCATGGCCAGGACAGACAGCTACACCTCTGATACTCTCAGGAATGCCTCAATCCATTGCAGGGACCTTGCTTGGAGCTCCCCAGCTCGGGGCACCCAGAGGAGCTCCCCGAAGAATCCTTTGAGTGCGCGCTCGAGTCCTCGGGGTGCCCCAGCCCGGGGGGCACCAACAGCACTGTCCCTCCAGGGGCCCAATCTGCTCCCAAAAGGCAGGGGCATCGTGCCCGTGTCCCACACTGCTCCGGGGATCTGAGGGCCTTCCCGAGAACACCTCGGTGCCGGCGTGAAGGCCCAGAGATCCCTGGGAACCACGGGACAGCAGGCACAGAGTCCCTGCTGGGGCCCATTTGGCTGCCTGAAAGCAGCTCGGCAAAGAAGCCTCTCACACTCAGCTGGGCACTTTTACAAGCCAGGCATTCCTTGCATTACTATGCTCTTGAATCATCCCAGCCCACTGCCTGTCCTGGCCATCAGCTCCCACAGTGCACACAGAGGGGTCCCCATTGCAACTGATTGAACCCCCATGTACTGATGCCCTTTTCCATTCCCTGCACTCTAGTTAAATATTCAGGGCGTTTTCCAACACTTATTACCATCCACACCTACCTTGGAAGGTTTCTGAGAGGCTTCTCCAAGGGGCTTCCACGGTCTTCTCTGTCTGGAGTGCCCAAAGTCCCAAGGGCCTGCCTTAGGAACCTCAAGACAACTCACCTGCTGACAGAGGAACTTGGTGCTGCTTGGCTGCTGCCTCACTTCCCTTCTTCCTTCTTTCTTCACCTCCCTGGCTCAGTCCCTTTCAATCCCCTGGCTCAGCTCTCTGCAGTTTCAATGTCACAGCCCCCTGCAAAAAGTATCAGCTCTTGTTACACCTCAAAAACCAGACAGTATCCCCCATTTTCTCCTCACACTTGGCCATTAGGCTAAAGACTCATTACTTAAAGTACAGTTGGACTCTTGACTGACTACAACAGCTACAGCCCTGAATCCTAACACAGGTTGAGGGACAAACATCGCAGCTGAGGGATGAGAACTTGGAAGGATCCAGTCTGTTCTACTGACCAATACCAAGGAGGTTTCCAAACTCAAGAATAAGATGCCCAAGGTCCCCTTTCTGCCACTTGAACTGCTAGAAATGGGATCAACAAAGGCCCTTTCCACTTCACCTGCAGGGGCTGGCAGTCCCACCACTTGACAGGGACCCAAGGGCTGGGCAGGAACGCACGGGCTGGGGCGTCCAATCCATCGGCCGAGGCGTCACCGTCAATTCCTGCAGTTCCTGCAGGCCACATCCTAAAGCCAGCAAACAATCAGCAAGACCATTTTTGCCTTTCATGGCAATATTCCCTGCAAGATGGGGAGCTTGATAAGGCCTCCTGGTGCAACAAGGACAGACTTATGGCCATCTATTCAAAGGCTCTACTAGCACTGAAAAGCTATCACTGTCCTCCTTCCAGGGCTAACTCAACAAACCCTGTTTGCCAGGAGCCTCCAAGAGCATTTCCAGCTTTTGGGGCTCTCTTTTTTCCCCACAGTTGGAGCTGGGACTATCACCTGCTCTACAGGGGGAACAGCCCAGAAAGTTAACTGGGAGGGATGCCAGTCACTCCAAGTCCCTTGTCAGGGCTGCTCACTGCACACCTTGTCCTTTGTTTTCCCTCCCAAACCAAGGGGCTTCCAACAGTTCAGAGAGATGTGGCAGAGCCAGAGCTCTCCTCAGGGAATGCCTGAGCTGCCTAAAGGCTGCCCTTGCACCATCTATCCAAGGCAGAAAACTCCTACATGGGGTTTCAAAACTTTGCATCAGTCTTACCACACATCCAGAGGGAGCAATGCAGAGTCGCCACAATTCCACCATTCCCAGGAAGGCACTTCATGCACTGCCTGTGGCTCAGGGAGGACTCAGGTGGCTTCTTTTCTTCCTTCCTCATTTCTGGATTTTCTCCTTCAAAAGCAAAGGTTTCTTGGCTTGCCTTGCTCCTGGAGATGCAGCAAAGGGCATCTTGAAATCTAAGACTGCCAACTACTCAAGGTTGTCATCTCAGGTGCTTCTCTCAGGTCCTGCACTGATCAATCCTCTTTGCCACTGGATTTCTTTGCAGGTTCTTGCAGTCACATTCTGGAAGTAAACCACAATGAGCAATTTTAGCTGTTACTGCAATCAATACATTCTGGCATTATGATTTTCAAGGATCCTGGGTTTGCCTTACCTAGAGAGATCTCAGCTTCATGGGAATACCTACAGGGTCTGCCCTTGTCCATTCTCCTGGAATTCCACTGGCCCACACCACAGGAACAACTCCATCTGCCACTCCAGTCGGGACGGTGCTGCTGACAGGAGTTATTTCCTGCACGAGAAGAGCTGCTGCTCTCACACAGTTAGTTTCAGCAATTACAATTTCCATCTCCCCATTTTCCAATTTAATTTCTGCCTCAACATTTCCACCCAATGTCTTCCTGGCAGGGGTTTAAGGGAGCTTGCTAACACAAAAGCTGAGGAATTCCCCAAGGTTTTCCCACTTTAACCCCTGTCACACCAATCACCTTCACAGTGCCATTCCTGAATTCTCCCTCTGTTGTGTTAAGGACTGAGGAAGCTGTACCTGTGTCTGACCAGGACATGTGCAAACCAAATGCTGGGGACTGGAACCCACACCTTGCACTCCTGCAGCTCTCACAATTCCACTCAAGACAAAACACCCAATGGTACCATCACCACTCATTCCCTAATCCCAATCCCACACTTCTTTTGCAGTCCAAACACCACTTTTAGAACCCAATTACAGCCCATTCCAGAGCTCCATGGCCAGGACAGACAGCTACACCTCTGATACTCTCAGGAATGCCTCAATCCATTGCAGGGACCTTGCTTGGAGCTCCCCAGCTTGGGGCACCCAGAGGAGCTCCCCGAAGAATCCTTTGGGTGCGCGCTCGAGTCCTCGGGGTGCCCCAGCCCGGGGGGCACCAACAGCACTGTCCCTCCAGGGGCCCAATCTGCTCCCAAAAGGCAGGGGCATCGTGCCCGTGTCCCACACTGCTCCGGGGATCTGAGGGCCTTCCCGAGAACACCTCGGTGCCGGCGTGAAGGCCCAGAGATCCCTGGGAACCACGGGACAGCAGGCACAGAGTCCCTGCTGGGGCCCATTTGGCTGCCTGAAAGCAGCTCGGCAAAGAAGCCTCTCACACTCAGCTGGGCAGTTTTACAAGCCAGGCATTCCTTGCTGACAACACCCTGCAATCATCCCAGCCCAGCGCCTGTCCTGGCCATCAGCTCCCACAGTGCACACAGAGGGGTCTCCACTGCAGCTGAGGGGAGGGATCAGCATTACAGGAGGCTTCACTTTGTTCCCTGCATTCCTGTTCCACACTCAGGACATTTCCCAACACCTGTTCCCATACACACAGACTCTCATAAGGTCTCAGGGGCTCCATTGGGGGTCTCTGGTGGTCACCTGTGCCTTGAGCCCCCAAAGTTCTAAATGACCAGCTCATCAGCTTCAAGTCACTTCACCTGGTTGCAGAGTAACTGGGTGTTGCTTGGCTGCTGCCCGAGTTCCCCTCTTTATTCTTTCTTTAGAAAAGGACTAAAAAGTGTTAATGCAGCACAAACAAACTAAGTGAGACTAGTCTTTGCCTCATAACCAGGTACGGGGAAAGGTTTTGGAGTTCCAGGGCAAACCCTGCTCTTACCGATACAAACTCCCAGGCTCGGCACAGCTGTGGTCCCAGAGCAGCTTTCCAGGGTCCTTCTCTCTCCAGCAGGAAGCACAACTCGCCACACTCTGCCAGCACCAGGGGAAACCACCAGGAAGGCTGGAAACTGACACAGAAGGAGGAGAGAGCATTAAGTCGGCACCAAAAAACCGAGTTAGAGCAGCCTTTGCCTCATAGCCCTGCACGGGAAAAGGTTTCAGAGTTCCAAGACAAACCCTGATAGACCCAGAGAGCGCAACAGCCCCCCAGCCCCGCCACGGCTGCCCCCGGGGCTCCCCGGCAGGGAACGGGCTTACCCAGCCCCCGCAGCCCAGCACAGCGGCCCCAAACACCGCCCAGCTGCCCCGTTCCACGGGCACGGAGCACTCGGAGCACTCGGAGCACACGGCGCTCTCCCCAGCCCAGCCCAGCCCCGCTCAGCCCAGCCCAGCCCGCTCAGCCCTCACGCTCAAACAGCGGCGGCCGCGCCGGCCCCGCCCTCCCTTGTGCATCGCGGGGCGGCAGCCGCGGCCCAATCAGCGCTCGAGCTCCTCCGTCCAATGGCAGCCCGCGCTGTCCCCGCGGCCCCGCCCGGCCCGGCCCGGCCCGCTCTCTGCGTTGTCCATTTTAGCAACGTGAGGCCTTAAATATTTATGACCGTACTTGCTTCCAAAAACCTTGTGGATTTATGATAATACAGGAAACATGCTGATGCTGTGCATTAGTTTTATTCCATAGATAAATGTCATCCTGAGCAAAAAAGTAATGGTTGTATAAATTACCCAAAAAACCCCCACCATAGTAATATTACAGACATAATAACAGACAAAACTGTAAAACAAACAAACAAACAATTTTTAAATACTTTGGTCGCATATTGGTACAATTTATTTTAAAAGCAAAATCAAAAATGATACACGTGTCCACACACACAACATCCACAACACACAGTTCACGTGGATCAACACCTGACATTGGAGTTTCTCGGCCTTTGTTACAACAGCACACTGGGCTTTGTTTTCAGCAAAGACTTCCATTCATTTCTTTTGGATAAGAGGTAAAATAAAAGGGTAATGCACTCCTAGAAACCAAAGCTGTTAAAAAAAAAATAAATAAAGTCTGCCACAATAGAGCCTTTAAGCTGAAAACTGAAGTGGTAACAGAGCTGAGGTTAAAGCTGAGATTGCACACATTAACATTTGTGCAACCTCCCCGCCACTTAATATTGGGTTTGTTTGAAGGGAAAATGACCAAATTCTGAGCATAATCAAATCATGTTACACCATTAGAATACCAATAAAAGTGTTCTCATGTAGTCACATACAAAGTGTTCCATCCTTTCACTAAACTTGGACTTTACCTCTCCCCCCATCCCAAACTTATCTTAAAATGGATTCCACCCTCCCACAAACACATTCTATAAAAATCTGAATAAAATTGCATTTAGATTCATAGGGTGGGTGTCCATTTGTGCAGCTCAGTGCTGTGAGGGGCACATGGCAAAGATTTCCAATATCAAAGTGCTGAACACAAACATTGCACTGTTTTAACATCTCCTGAAGTAATCTGGTCTTAGCATGCTATTGAAGAGGGAGAGTGATAGAAAATAATCAATAATCAAATACTGCTTCTTTGAAGAAACCCTTAGAATGGGGGTTTCATCCTTACTAAGTGGCATAACAACACACTTTACACAAGACACCAATTGTTGTCTCCAACATAAGAGGAAAAACATTTCAACAGGAATATATCAAATTGGAACCCTTATTGTTTATTTATCACTTGTATGTGATTTTTTTTTTAACGTAGATAAACACACTACATGGAAGTATTACTGAACTCCTCAAAGCCCTGGGGTTTCTTTAGTTTTCAAGATGGTATTTTAGTGTTATCGAGATTAAACTCCAACAGGGTTTATCTGCATATTGGTTGATTCGGTTTCCCATCAAAATACCTGACCCAGTTAGTGCAAAACTTCCACTATGAGCAATTTTCTTGTATGTTGTAGTAGTCAATACAATATCCAACTCAACCTTTTTTCCACAGAATTTATTACCTATGTCAGGTTCAGTTAACAAACTAAAGAAAAAAAACAGATAAGAAAATTTTCAGACAGTTCAAATAGCAATATTCTGTATAAAATGTAGTTATTTTAAACTTCCTGTCTTACCCCTTGCTTCAGGTTGCCAGAAATATAAAATATTACATCTGGTAGTGCAATCCCTCATAAAGGGGTTCTGCTGCTGTGAGAGTCAAACACACTGTATTTGTATTAACTTGACCATCAGCTTCCTCATGCTTTCAAGGTATCCCTTCACTGGTAGCAGGTACACAGGCCCACTCAGACTTCCAAATCAGTTTATAAAAAGGTAGAAAAATATACTCAGTATTTGTTCAGCCTTTCTACAGTCAGCCTATCATACAACGAATCTTACAAAAGAATTTATCAGCTGGAAAAAAATACCAACAACTGCACAGCACCTGGAGGAAGGTCTGGATGGGAAGGGACAAATCCAGCCACCTTGAAGCTGTTTTTCTTCAGGTTTATGGAGATGTATTTTCACAAGGAAACACTCAGTACCACGTTCACATGAACAGCCCTGGACACACAGACCTTTTGGATTTATTCAGCCCCTGAAGGCTGAAGCAGCGCTGGTGACGTGGAACGACAGAGTCCGATCAGCTCAGCCGGACAGAACGAACTCCGGATTTCATTGTCACCAAGTCACTCTGCAACGTGCTGAGGAAGTGTCACTTGAAAAATTCTTCCTTCAAGGGCAACAAAACCAATAAATGTTTCTGAGGGAACTGTTTGGTTTCGTGGGTTTAAGCTGTGTTTGTTTGTGCTCCAGTCAAGCAATGACATCGTGGGTGTCACTGTTGGGTCTTTGGCGCAGACTCAGCGGGGGCAGAGGCTTTCCATAGAAATCTGTGCCAGGAATTCCAGGGAAGAAAAACACATCCATCTGTCACCCAAAGGGTTTTTACACGTGGTCAATTCTTGCTGCCTTTCATGGAAGCCAGGTAGTCTACAGGTTAAGAGCTAATTCCTCCAAACAACTTTCAAACCTAATTAATCTCTATAGAAGTATCAGCCAAAAGAGGGTTTAATTCCATTTTGTTCTACAGGCAGCAGCATTTGCAAGATCAAGCCCAAAGGTGATCTGTAAACATCCCAAAAATAGGAAATGAGAAATCCAAAGTGGGCAAACAACAACTGAAAAGATCACGGATCAAAATTTGAATGTTGCTGTAGGCAAGTTTTCATTGCAATATAGTTTTAAGTGACAGCAACACTGTGCAGCATCCAAAATTTGGGGACCATTGGTGCATGGCATTTATCTTACAAGCCATGCTAACTTTCTAAAAGAACTATATTAAGAATTTAAAAAAAAACCAAACCTGCAACATTTTCATCAATAAAGGAGTTTAAAGTAGTAAAACTGCTCAAGACAAAGTCAATAAGTACATCAGAAGAGAATAACAACTATTCTCAAACATTTGTCATTGATACAAAAGAAAAACAACAACCATGCAGATGGGTACATGCAAAGCATTTCACAAGCAAAATAATGTGAGAGATGGTAAGAGGAAACAGGGAGAAATCAAGGGGAAAAAAAAAAAGCAGCTTTTTGAAGCATTCAAATCTCAGTTTGGTTTATCCAGACCAGCTCTTCCCCAGCAAAGCCTTGATGGCCTGCCAACACAAAATTCAGCTTTAATAAATCAGAATTTCCCAAGGAGAATATATTCCCCTTGTTCTACGTGGGCAAGAACTGAAAATTGCACTCCTGAGCTGGAATTAACAAATCAAACCAGGTGGATTCCACTGCTCTAAGACTGTGGAGGTGTCTGCAGGATCACGGGTTTAGTTGTCCTTCCATTTAATCAGCAAAATGAAGGCAAATAAAACCCTGTACAATGGATGGTTTTATTAATCAATTTATTAATTTCTTGAGGTCTGGCAGACCACTTTAGGACTGACAGATCATTTTACTCCTAGATTGGAAGAGGTCTATTATTCTTGCAAATGGATCCTCCACTGACAATAAACAGACACTCATTACCTAATGTTGTGCCAGAATTATCAGTAGGACTGGGAAAATTGCAGTCTTTAGTGAAATAAGTGTATAATTAAAGATTTATGTAATTGACTCTACTGCCTGTTAACAGCCAATATAACATTCTAAGAATGACACCAAAATGACTCAATATATACATTAAATAGCCTGCTCATCAACACTTCAATTTTCCAGATTGCATAATTAAGACAGAGTTATATGTCTGAGAAAGCCTAGCATTAAAAACCAGACCTTTGGAGGTTGTTTCAGCCTCACACTACCTGAATTTAACGTATTTCAGCAGCAAGAACTACCAAATATCTGCCACTTCCAAAAAAAAATAATTTAAGACAAAAACAAAGGACTTACTCCTCTCCTTACTGAAAACTATTTCTACTGGTATCTCTACTTTCACTGCAAATTGTTCCTTCAAGCTATTTCTATAAATTAATCATGAAACCAACAGGGAAATAAAAATGCCTTTTTATTTCACAAAGGTTGAACGTCTGAGAAAACCTTTAAACCCAGCTTGGGGGTGGATTTTGGGCAAAGCTGGGGGCAAAAAATTCAACCCTGAGTTGAATTCAGCTGCAAAGTTCTGAGCACTTCCAGTCTGCTCTGACCTCAGTGCTGACCCCTCTGCTTAAGAGATCCCCACCAACATATTTTCTATTTTCCAGTGTGAGCTTCCAAATTCACTGGGTTTCTCTTTGTTCCCACCCGTGCCTCTTGCTCCCAAAATGCAACAGATACAAACTGCAATTCCCTTTCTTCCCCTCCCTACCTCTTCATCTGGCTTTTCTCTCTTGCAGCCTCCTCTCTACGTGCCTTTAAAAAAAAGAGCAAGATGGGTTTATGATTAAGATAACAAGTGACATTTTACTCACATCAATCTCATTGCTGTGAGAAATAAATATCTTGGGTTTAGAAATTTTATTTTCCCTTTAGGCAGCTTTTGATTCTTTGGCAGAAAAGCTCCAGGTTCTGTTGTTTCAGAATTTCACGTGATCAAAGTTCAATTCATTCAAGGCAGGGTTAAGCTCCAGAGTAAGCACAGCCACAGCTCCTTTCTCTAAGTTTCTCCATTAATGTTCTTTTTATTCCATTTGAACAAGTGTTCTCACTGCTTTAGTTTGGTTGTTCTCCTCTCACACTACTCCAGATGTCTCCATGTTCACTCAGCTATTCAAAATCTGAACAACAAAAATGTAAGAAAAACAAAGGAATTGCCACCTACAACTCAGCCAAAAAAATGCAGTGTGAGCATATGAAAAACAATCTTTCAGGATCTTCCAGAATTAGAAACCAGCCATTATTGAGGCAAGAAATCAAGAATCTGCCTACTTCACCTTGGTATTTCCAGATATTAAACTTATTTCTGCTGGCAGGTTATGAACTTCCAGGGACTCTGGTTCTTCAGGTAAAGCAGCAGATCCCAAGCTTTTTCACTGACATTTCTCCTTCCAGACCAATAATTCAGTTTTTATTTGGACTCTTAAAATAGCTGGCCCTGAACTGGTCCTGTTCCCCTTTGCAATATGGCACTTTTTAATGTTTAGGTACTGCTGCCATGCAAATAACTTCAGATCATTGATAGCACCTGATATCCCCAGCCATCTGAAACTTTATAAGGGAATCTCAGATAGCTTTCTGCTCCATTAAATATAAAAAAAGACTTGAAAAATCAAAAAGATGCTTTCTCCTAAGCAAAAGGTTTAGGTTTTGGTCAGTGAAAATTAGAATTAAGACATTAAAAAAAAAAAAAGATGAAGCATGAAATGAATGTAGAAGTGAATGAACAATGGAGAATGCTTTCAAAAAGTACAAAACCCAAAATACTTTCAATTCCCAGCACGATGTGTTTCACCAAGGGGCTCCAGTTTTCCAAGTCTATGAAGTTTGGGAGTTCCCCAGCCAACTGAAGGAAAACAAAGACTGTCAAAACATGCCCTGAGTGCTCTGGATTCTGAGGAGCTGCCCAGAAAGCAGCTCATTTTGGGGGAAATCAAAGCATTTAAGGGATGCAATATATTGCATCCACGGGGAAGAGCTAGAATTGTCTTTGAGAAGAAGCTGATTCACCCTTAGACACTCCTCATTTTAATCACTTTTCCGTGAGTAGTCAAGTTTCTGACTCCCTTTTTGGGAAAATAATGTCTTCCCCCACGGAACAGGCCAGATCAACAGTGCTGGAAGTTCTTATCATGACGTGGGAAACTGCCCCAAAGATTTTCTAGAGAGAGATCATTCCAGTTTCGTCATTGCAAGTGAATATTTTCAAGGATTAACAACCCCAGACTGAGCCATCAGTTCCTGGCTGTCAGTACACTCACCTGGTGGAAGTGCTGCTGGGGGTGGTGGATTTTTGGGAAGAGAATCCTCTGAATTAATAGGTTCTACTCTGTGGCCCCTTTTTAATTTCGGTTTCTTACTTTTTTTCTTGCTGTTATCTATAGGAAACAGAAATCAAACATTACATATCAGACACTGATATTCAGAGGATATCTTAGATCATCTTCTAAAGCAATTACTGAGGAGATACATCAGCATTTTCAGTCCAAAATTATGCACAAAATTATGGGAAAAATGTAAAAGCTACACGGCATTTTGTTACAGAAAAGAAACTTTAAGCATAAAATATATGCAAACTCTGTGTTTCCATAACGAAATTCAACTTAGCTGAGTCCTGTTGGAAAGTGGACTGCATATTTGATGATGATAAAAACAAACCCAATTTCAGCTGCAGTACCAGCCCCACCAACAAACCTGCACTTTGTGGAAGAAGATTTTCCAATACCACAACCTAATTCTGCATTTTTATGTTTTCAACAGATTAAATCGATGTGTGGCATCATGAAAAATAATAATAAATAATAAACAAAAATAAATATAATATATACTATATAATAAATATAATTAAAAATAACAACAAAAAAAGGCAAAGCACTGTGAACAATCCCATGAAATGACACATTCCCAGGCAGTCTGACCTGAGCCAAGGCATTCCGAGGCTTGCTGATCATTCTCTCCCGAGTGCTGCCAAAGCTGGGGAGGTGCAGAATTGCACATTTCTGCTCTGCTGGCTGTTGTGGTTTGGCTGCTGCTCCTTGACAAGTGCTGGGCATCCATCTGCTCCTGCTCTGGTTGTGGTTTCAGGACAATTGGAGCCTGTTCAGTCTCCAACCTTTGCCTCTTCTTTTCCTTTTCCATTTGGTTTTCATTCTAACAAAAAGGGTAAGAGTTTTTGTCAAGCTGACAAATAAGACAGGAGGGTTATTAAAAAATGAAAGCATCTTTCTGTCCCACGCACAGCATGGAGTTTATTGCCAAATAGGTGAAGAAATTAAATTTCAGATATCCTGTCCAGAGGAAGGGAGAGGGAATTAACAACAAATGAAATGATCTCTCTGTTTGTTGACTGTTTTCTTGCTTTAGTTTTGGTCATATTAAAAAAATAAACCAAAACTGGAATATAAACAACATCAACAGTCCTGAGGTCAGAAACCTTCTCATTTCTTCCTCTTCAATGACTTTTTCTTTATGTTTTATTTCAAACAAAATACAGTTGCACAGAGCTTAAGTCTCCTTCAAATGCCACCAGGAGTGGGACAAACACCTGTTGTGTCATCCAGACTCAATCCCAGGCTGTTCCACAAGTTCTGTATCACCAAATCACCATCTCTGCAATACTCACACTCTGTCCTCTTCCTCTGGATGCTGTTATGAAGTGTGTTATTGTGCATGCAGTGACTTCACATGCTGTGTGCATGTGGGTGCAAATGTTGGAGTTACTGACTGGCAAAGTTTACGTGTTTCTTTAGATGATGTTATCTCCAGTCAACTGAACAAAAAAATATGGCACAATAAAGAAGAACTACCCGAACTCAGAAGCACAGGTTAAAGAACCTTTAACATATGATGTGATTTTCATATTTCAAAACCAAAACACTTGTCAATAGTGTCAGTTTTCAACTGAAAACAGGTTATGCTCAGAAATCTAAACAGTTGTAGAAGTCAGTCAGATTTTATGACTCTCTACATGGCTAAAATACTTTACAAGAAACTAACAGACCTTGAATATTTTCCACTTCTGAATCCCCACTGGTTTAATTAGGAAATATGTTCAGTCACGTGTTGAGATCTATTTTCCTGTGCCTACAACACTTTTGTCCCCCAATCAATAATAGGGGGTTTCTGATCAGGAAAACATTGATTCAATGCACACCAACCAAGACTGCCAAGATTAAATACAAATTCAAAAAATGCTGTGCAGGCAGACTGAGACCAATTCTTTGGAATGAACCATTTTTCTCATGACCTCTCAGACATTTGTTAGTGGCACTTCTAAAATAACCCAGAGTTCCACACATTCTCCTACCTCAGAGATTACAGCAGATATAGGCTGGAAGGGGTTCTGATATTTCCCAGGCTCAGGGTCTTCCTCATCAGGCACAGCTCCTTCTTCCTTTTCCCTTTGGCATTGGTGGGGGGTTTATGTTGTTGTTTCAGTGGCATTTGTGGATTTTGGTTGGGTTTGGGTTTTTTGAGGAGGGAGGAGGGAAGAAGAGAGGGAGAATGAACAAAGAATTCTGGAGTAGCCAAGCCATAAATGTTACAGAAAAAAAATTATTAGATCACCCAGCTCATCTCCCAATTTCTGCCAGCAGGGACTTTAAAGGTCCCTTCTAAAAGTAACTCCTCTATGGTTCTGGGAAGGGAATCACACTTGCTTCACCCACACTCAGAAAAGTTCAGGAAGACACCCAAAGCTCAGTTTACCAGCACTGGTTACTTTTTATGTTCCAGATATTTATATAAGAAATATTACATAGCTATGTATTCAATAATCCATCACTGATAAAGTCCATTCTCATCAAATACCCCTCAGGAATCATCTGATGGGAATTGCACACACAAGTCACTGTCACCCCTATTTTGCAGCTGCAGGTGCTGAGAGAGGAAGGAACAAACCCCTCGTTCAGAGGTACAGATGGGGAGGAAAAGGAGGACAGGAACACACCCATGGAAACAAAATGCTTGGCAGGAACAGACAGTGCTGGTGAGAACTTCCCAGCACTTCCACTGCCTCTGGTTTCCCATGGGAAACAAGGTGCTGGCTGCTAACATATTGTGGAGGAAATGCACTTTCTGAACAGAAAAGATCAGCAAGGCCAAATTTACTCCACAAGCACCGTGCAGTTCTCACTCCCAGGACATTTCAAGCAGGAAGCCCTTTAGGGCACGAACCAGACAAAACCTTGCAGGTCCTGCAGAAAAACTCTACAATTCAGGTCTGTGCTTTTAACAGGGACACTCTGGGATTGGAAGCTCGAAATCCTTGACAGCTTGGCTGCACTTCCAGGAAGGAATGGAGTATCTCAGAGCAAAGAGGAAGGGGAGGAAGCAGAAGTTCCAGGGACAATCAATACCTTTCTTCTCGTATCCTTCTCACTCGCTCGGCTCGTTCCAGTTTCTTCTGTTCTTCGTACGCCTTTTGCTCTGTGGTGTCTCTTTGGATTCGCTCGTTTAAGGCATCAAAATCTTTGGCTATGATATGCAGAAGCCAAAATAACCCCTTTTTGATGGATTTGTCAATTTTTTTCCCATAGCCCATGATAGCTGAGCAAGGTTCCTGCAAATGTGAGGGGAAGGAGGGGAAAAGTCTTTGCAGTTCAGATCACACTCCTCGACTGGAAACAAGGAATTAGCTGAGCAATTACTGTTCACTGCAAAACACTGAGAAGTATGGGAAGGAAATTTGTATTTATGCATTCCCTAAATTCAGAAATATTTACAAACCTTTTTTGGCCAAGATAAAAATCTCATCTGGACAGTGATCCTTCCTGAATGTCAATGCAGGCAAATCCCTTTTCTGCTTCCTTTTAGAATTCTTTTGGAATACTAAACTTGCTGTTCAACTGAACAAGTTTTAAACCACATCAGTAACTTCATTATTCTTACATGGTTTCAGAACAGACCAGCAGTTAAATATTGAGGATCCCCACTGTAAACATTTGTTAGAACATCAAGGTGAGCAGCAGAATTTCTTGCAGAACAGATACATGGACTGTATCTTTTCTGGGACTGCAGGGTTTGAGTTTCCACCTTACTGGAAGCTTTCCATCTATATCTCATTAGAAATCAGAAAATGAAGCATGTTAAAATATACCTACAATTTGACAGAGACACTTGTGTTCATTGACGAGCCTTTCCAGAGACAAGGACTCGATCACATCTGCTTCTGACAGAGCTCCTTCTCTGTCCTGCTTGTTTGCCAGCCTGGAGAAAAGACCAAAAGAAACACTCAGCACCCTGACACAAGAGAGACTCCCAGATCTCCAAAAGCTAAGGTTTTGGGAAAAGTGGGAAGAAGGGAAAGAGTGAGAAAGGAAAGATAAAATGCCTTGTTTCAGCTTTGATTCATTATTCTTTCTACTTAAACTTTCTACTTAGTCCATGCACTCTTTTAATCACATATTAAAATTAAATAATCACTATGATTACCATGAAACAGGATAAACCAGGGAAAAAATTATCTCCACTTTTTTCCCCACCACTTAACATATCTTTGTTCCAGTCTGAAAATCCTACTGTGCTGCCCTTCAGTCTCCAAAAGCACTGCTCAGCAGTGCTGTCAACTCATCCAGACCTAAGTGAAGAAAATATTTCTGAGCAGTGTTTGTTGCCACAGCCTATTCCTTTCTCCCCTGAAGATTAAATACCCGTGCTCTGTGCTGTGCTGTTGGACTGCACACTCTGCCAGGCACAGCTGAGGCAGAAGGAAATGCTGCTGAGCTGCAGAGCTCAGTGCCAGCGTGAACTCAAGTCCTACAGCCTGCAGTGACTGCTGATTTTTACCCTCTGATACCCTGAAAGGTGTCATCTTTGTCTTTCTGCTCAATTGGTTTCCATCTTCTCTGCAGCAACACGGAATGAGCATTCAGAAAATACGGCTGAGGTGCTGTGTCTGGAAAAGCAGAACATCCAAAGAGCTGCCTCCCCCCAATGCTCCCCAGGCACTGAAGTGGTTTTGCTCAGGTCATGCACCTACTGAGCACCTCGAGCTTTAGGTCCAACTCTGAAATGGAGTTAAAACATTTTTAAGATACTTTGCTGGGTTTTGTTTTCCATCTCCTACTGGATCCACCTAACCTTGCTTCTTTTTCCCCCTGTGGTGCAGAAGAAAGCGAGCCCTGCGCTCTCACTTGTGCTCCACCTCCAGCTCCCAAGGCCTCTCTAGCCAAGGAGCAGCTCCCAAGGCCCTTCCTGCTGCTGGGCAGTGGCAGCAGTGGATCCACCCCTCGGCAAGGCTGGGTTTCAAACAGGCACAACCACATTCCCCACGTAGGGAGTAATCAATTTGCCTCGTCTACTGCGCTGGCAGAAGTTTCTCTCTCGCACTGCCCGCTCCTGAACACTTGGACAACTCCAGGAGAATTAGAAGCAGAAGGAATGAAGAAAAGCCTTCATGGAAAAGTCACTCAGGACGTGTTACTTCGGGAGATATTCAGAAAAAAGTTTCTCAGGTTGTGCTGAAGCTTAACCTCAGGAGTTCCTCTGGAAAGGATAAACCAGAAAGCCACCAGCACAGCGTTCAGAGGTAAATACTTATTTCTTAATATATATAAAGTTGCAAGTATCTGAAAAAAAAGCTGTATATTGGGGGTTTAGAATGGAAATGTGCTCAGTGTCAAGGCACACAAATAATGGATGTTGACCCAGCGAAGAATTAGGCATTTCTGTGCGAGAATAAACTCTCAGAGCTCTGCTGCTCATGCACAGGAACACCAGGCTTTGAGGCGAGTTTTATGCCTAAAAATACCTTCTTCAGGGAACACATCAGAGTTCTCTTAAAAGAGAGACGTTGGTTTTAAATTTCCAAGTCCGTTAAACTTCCTAGATAGCAATTTTTCATGTTTAAAACCCTGCAGGAGGGATACAGATCAAAACACACTTGAAAGCACAGGGGAGAGCCTGTTGGTTCATCATGTTAAGTTTGCTGAGTAAGAAGCTTTCATATATAAAATCACACTTGTCTTGCTTTCAATTTCACATTAAAGCATATTTGGAATTGTCTTGGTGCACCAAACTTACCTCATGCAAGAAATAAAGAGAAAGTAGGCACCTACTGCTTTTACATCAAGTAGGATTTCTCTAAGCAACTTAAGAGAGCTTTGGAACTTGAAAAGCCCTGGGAAACAATGTGGAAAGTGACAGCTGCAGTTCAGTGACAATATTTCTTTAGAAGCCAGAAAACGTGCCAGAGAAAAACAAAGTCTGAATGCAAGCTCTGCAAGTTCCTTGAGCTGTTTATAAAATTACTGAGCAAAGAGGAACACAAACAAACAAAACAAAAAACACGAACCAGTATTAAAGTTTACTTTACAATACAAAAGATCTGGTGGAAAAAGAAAAAAATCCTGTATGAAATGGACACATTTGTATCTTGGTTTTCATCAGAAATCCCAGCAGTGTCACAGAAAGGGTGTGTGTGGGCAGAGGGTGTTCTGTGTGAGGGTTTGTGTGTGCACATGTGTTTGTTTTCCTGTTCTGCAGACTTGGAGCTGGTTTTAAATACTGTTCCTTTCCAACTGCTGCATTTCCCTCCACTTGTGTGGGATTCTTAGACAGGAACATAATCTGGAGCAGTGAATATTGCAATGGGGGCACACTGGGGGGTGATCTCTAAAAGTGTCTCAGATGGGCTGCTTTTGGGCTAAAGTTTTCCCAGAATCAGTGATCACAGACCCACGGTGGCCATCAAAATGAAGAGCAAAGCATCCCTGCAGTCAAAATATCAAAGGATCAGAGCTGCCAACAGGATAAAAGCAAGTTCAGGAAAATGCATCTTTAGGAGAATGATTTCTCTGACATCATCAGCCTTTAAGGCTCCTTGAAGAAGCTGTAGCTTTGTGGGATGGAGTTAGAATTCCTGGGCAAACAGGGAAGACAGAACCTTTGAATGTAACAGCAGCCTCCACACAGGAAAGAACAATGCTCTGTTCTTCAGTCTACAGTCAACCTTCTATTGAAAAATGCTGTTCTACCTCTTCTCCCCTCAGAAATGTTCTCTCTCATCTATCAACTCTTTTCTTGGACAGCAATCAGAAGGATGTTTTATCCTAGGGAAGAGAGGCCTCAGCAGCCACAGCATGGAAAAGTTTATCATCCCTTTATGCTTTGTTTATGTTAAACATCCATCAAAGTCAAACTCCTGATCCACAAACCTGAGTTTGCCAGCCTTGTTTCGCTTGTTCTTTCTTCTTCAGTTCCTGGCAGTTCAGGAGCCTTTTCAGGAAGTCACAGAACACAGAATTCCTTGTATTTTTAGCAAACAAACAGAGAGGAGAATAGACCAACAGTTTCAGGTCTTCTGGGTTGCTGACAACACTGACAAACCCATCAGTAACTCTTTCCTGATGGACACACGGCTCTTCCTCAAATAAACTTACCTCGTTCCTCTGGTTTGCTTTTCATGCCTTCAACCCTTCTGCAGAACAATCCTTTGGATATCAGGCTAAGCTATACTGAAGAAATGATGAATAAAGTGCTAAAGATCATCTGCTGCAAACAGCAATTAAGGAATTAATTTGCTTTCCTGCAGTTGCAGGGAGGGATAGGAGACATTTCTCTATTTCAACCTTAGCCCGAGACAGCTCCTCCAGGTCACATTTAAATAAGAGAATAGTTAAGAGTAAGATTCTAAACTCATCCTGTTGTAATATCTCTGGGCAACTTCATTCTCATATTACCTTTTGAAGTGGTCACAAGGTTGTCAACAACTATAATTTGTTTTATTTTGCCAAGTGGCCTCATTCTTACCATAGGTCTGAATCATATTCATGTTTACTGAAAACATTTCTCTGCTGTGCTCTCAGTTCAATCACACCTGTTGGTCAAAGAGATGTCTGAGCTCACATGAAGCTTCCAGATGTGTAATTCCAAAAGAAATGACAATAAATTATGTTCCCATATATTTCTGGACAAGATTAAAAAAAAATGTAAATATGAATTGGTTTTTTATACTCTATTTCACCTTGATATATCAATACCTACGCAAAGAAAAGTATAGTCAAACTGCCTATAAGATATGTTTCTATAAAAAGCTTGCCTGAAAATCCTTACATTTATTCCAGGTGAGTTCCAAAGCTGTGATACAAAGCTCTGTGGTCTGACAGAGATGCAAAATGGGAACCTAAACTAGGTGGGATATTGTACAGGACAAATTTTGAGTCTGCAATTCCACTGTCAGGAAGACAAAAATCTCAAACCATTTAGAGCAATAAAAAGCCATTAACTAGGATATACATCTAACAATATATCCTATTAAGCTGAAGGAATCTCACCTCTCCTCTATCCTGTTGCAGCCCTTTCTCCAGCTCCTATTTTATTTTCAAATACTGCTTTAAATCATAGGAATATTTAGGCCTTAATTATGTGATCTTTTGGCAGAAGAGATTATGATTTTCTTTCTGGATTTCTGTGACCTGTAGGTGGCCATCATATTTACACCAGCTAATTAAGGGAAGGTGCTGATTTCTAGTCTTATTCTTGCTGGAAATAAACAAATAAACCCAGGTACCCACAACATATACATTTATTTCTCTCTATTGCTCATTTCTGAGGACTCAAAGAGCACGACTGAAATTTTTGGTTAAATAGGTGAAAAAATTCACCATCAAAACATTAAAGAAGTTCTCCAGTTTTGCTTTTAATCAAGGGATACTGCATTCCCTCACAAGAGGATAAAGCACAGATTAACTGATTTGCAGAGTGAGATCATTTTTTTTAATTATTAAGAATGAAACATCTTAGCCCTTAAATCCCCTCTGCTGAAAACGTTCCTGATTTTGCACTGTCACCTCATAAATGGCATATTTTTAGGCAGGGCAAGCTCTCTGCCTCTGGTATTTCCTTGTTGAACCACTCCCACACTGCCCACAAACAGAAACTTGAACTCACAACCATTTTTAAGCCTGTTTTTCTAAGGACTTATCTTAGGACAGAGATGCTTTAAGATGATATTTTCACCCAACCAGCTTGTGTCCGGTAATCCCTTGGTTCAGGCATGTTTGTTTACCAAGTATTTAAGTTAAAGGACGCTCTTTAAACAAAGGAGAAAATAAATGTAACTGGTAGCAAGAAATCCTACTTTAATTACTTCAGATTAATCTTTGACAAATAGGGAAAGATTCCCATCAAACCCCATCCAACATTTCTGTGAGAATACATGAGAGAGCACAGCCTTTGGAGCAAACTAAATTTACACTCAACTAGTTTTCCTCAGAGACCACTAAAAGTATTTTAAACTCTATGCATTTAACTGGTTAAATGCGTCTCACTAGTTTTTTTGTTGCTAACTTAAGGTACTTAAGCAGGAATGAACTTCAAACAATATCCACAGCCATTGTGTTCCAAAGTTAAATGGGTTTGTTGTCAGCAGGTAACACAGCTATAAATGTAACTTCACTGCAGCTGGGAAAATGAATAAAATAAAATTTTTCAGATGACATGTGACCCAAAATTCCTTTGGGACATGCTGCCTGAAAACATCCCCTACCCAGTGCCCTTAACTGACTGGTAACTACGGGGGCAGGAAAGGAAACCAACCTTTATTTTTGTTGCAATCGGAAAAAGAAATAAAAGCCCAACCCAAACAACGAAACAAAACAAAACACCCCACTAACAACAACAAAAAAATCTATTTCAGCCAAGGTAAAGAAAGCAGTATGATCCAGAATAGAGATTTCAAAGAGCTCTTGAAGAGAGAACCCTGTTCCTTCATGGCCTCCAAGTCCCCTTCTCTGGATGTTAAAATGAAGGTAAGAAGGCATGAAAATTGTATCAAAGATCAAATATAAACAGAGCCTTTTGTGCCAGGCATTTTAATGAGGGTGCCAAACAGCCAAGAAATAGCGAAGAAAGCTATGGAAATTAAAATAAACAGCAGGCTTTGGTAAATTGGGGGGTGGTGGGGAAGGAATAAAACAATCCAGCAAACCCCAAAAAGAAGCTGTTATATCTATTTACAACCAGCAACACGAGTTCCACACGATCAACTCAACTTCTTCACACATCCCATCGTGTCTTTTAACTCGAGGCAGCCCAAGTTTTTGGATGTAGGCTCCACTTTCACTGGGTGTAATTAAGAGGTGGAAGAATATTCTATTCTATGTCGCTTGGCAATTAAGCACCTCTTAACTTTTTTTTTCCCCCTTAAAAATAGGCAAGAGAATATAAAAAAATTTCATTATCTTTGAATTTAGGACATACTTTATCATCATGACAGGTTAATAACGGTGGTCCAGCCCTCAGGATCTATTATTCCACCAGTGTGCTGAGGTAATTGTCTTTATAAAGACTTTTCCAGCTGCTTCTGTCATGGGTTTGACTGCAGAGATTCACAGAACCCTAACAAGCAACACAGGCAAGTTATCAGAAGGCAAAGACCCTTGCAATCCCTTTAAAATGTAGCTGACAAGGATGCAAAAACTGCATTTCTGAACCTGACAATTATATCTAACTATATATAGCTATCTATAAAGATGCCTACCAGAAGAACAAATACAAACTTCATCAACAGTTGACAAAAACACAGAGAGGAGCAGGGGAAAAAAGCGTTTCTGGGAGATACAAAATACCAGAGCAACCCAACTGAAAATGTCCCAGTGCTGGGATTCCAGCTCCAAACATGGTTTCAGCATCAGGAACAGTTCAGATAAAAGATGTCACAGCAGCATTTATGACTGAGGAACAGCCAGGAACACAGGCAGACCTCACCAATGCTTTCCAGATTTATAGGTATGAGAGCATTTAGAGCCATTTCTAAATACAGCCAGTAATTTAAAACTGTAGTTTAACAAGCAAATGCTTTCCCATCTACTGATCTGCTCTGGCTTTCCTGCACTCAGTCTCTTGGCTGCTTTAACCCAAATTTTCCAACCTCTGATGAACAGCAAGTCTGATGAGGACGTGCCAGTCTGTGCTACTTTATCACTGTAAAAGTATCATGTTTTTAAATCTTTTTTTTTTTGAATATAGGGGACACACTAAGTCACTGGATTGCTTCCAGCCCACATATTCTGTTTACCTAAGTCTAAAAGAATAGGCATATTCTCCTTTTTATTGACAAAAACTTCAAGGAAATGGACCTTTCCTCTCAATCAAAACCTGACATGCCCCTATCCACATAACACAAACACGCAGGACGAAAACAAGGACTCACAAAACAAAGCTTGTTGTGGAACACTCAAGAAGCTAAGCCAAGAATTTCCAAGGTTATCTCTGTCAGGAAGACATCCTTATTTATTTGAAACCAGCATGTGTTTCAGCTGCCAGTACAATCAACCACATTTACTGCCAAGCACGTTCAGCGTTAGGTTTTTGAAGGCAAACCTGACAGAAGATAAGATATGAAACTCAGGTTCAGTTGCTTGCATTCCATTCTTTTGTGAGAATAATGTTTAAACAAGAAAAAAAGAAATCTGAAGTATTTTCTGCTTGCTGCTTTGCAAGTTTGCTATTTGACAATGTTTGGAGATGTGCAATTTTGTTTGAGCTCTCCATCCTCCCCTAATTATTTGAAGACCAATGCACCTAAAACATTGAAATGTAGATGTCACTCATTAATGGATATACTGACTGAAGATGCTCCAGTGTTTAACTTACTTTCTACATTTGCTTAGTAATAAAAAAAATATATATAAATCTTTAGAATCAGGGTTTAAGAATAATTGCACCTGTAAGTCTTTCCTGAAACATCTAAAAACAGGCAAAAAAATACTTCTGTCCTGTTTAACTGCTTGAGCAGCCCTTTGGAAGACACACATTTGATTTAACCAGAATACCCCAAGTAAAAAAATCCCATAATCTTAAGACTAGTCCTGAACATTTTACTTCTTGATCACAGTCCAAGCAAACAATTCATGTAGAGTTTGAGAAAAACACTTTCTTCCCTATAATTAAAAATAGCTGAACTCAAGTTATTTTCTAAACCATGCACAATGGAAACTTCCTCTTAATTTCTCTTAATATCTTCAGTAAAGCTATATATTTAAGAATATAAAGAATATATTTAAGAATATATTGTGAATTACACCTTCACAACATCTAGGGTATAAAACAAAACTAAAGGGACTTTCTATTAAACAAGAAACAGCACTGAGTTGTATCCCCCTATGGTGCACAACACACATTTGGATACATTTTATGAAGACTGCAAATGGTAATGTAGGAACAGAAGACAGTAATTCAAAATACGCTTAGAAAATCTTCATGCTGCAACATTAGTGATGTGGATTCACCTCCAGAAAAACCTCAAACATAAAAAAAATTGCTATTTTCATGCTAAATTCTTAGTTTTTAAATTATGAGACTTGTGTTTCTTACAGAGAATCAAAAAATGGAGCAGCAGATTCACGTCTATTTCCAAAAAGATTTCAAGGTTGATTAATTTTAATCAGATAAAGAATTAGGGTAAAATAAGAATCTGAGTTACTCCTCTCCTCCTCCCCAAAATAAAAGTGCTCTCCACACGTTATGTTCTTCACTACCCACAAAAAAGGGACTGGGCTCCAAAGCACTGTCTGAGGAAGGAACACTGCAGTGAAGAAGCTGAGGAAAGACTGTAACCAGCCCCAGGTTAAGATAAACTCCTCAAGAGCCTGCAATAAAAGGTGGGGTGCACTGACACCCCTTCTCTCATGTATTTGTGCAGAATACCCACCGCTTTTACCTTTGGGCAGAGGGAAGTGGCTCTAACCTCCAAAACTACTTTTCCCCTTATATGTACAAGGGCTAACGTTGATTGTTGTTACGTTTTGATTACAGTGAAACAAAACCAACAAAAAAAACCCCCATATTGGATGAACTTCCTGTGTTGCAAAAGGGGAAAAAATAAAAACAAACCCCGAACACAAAAGCCATGAGAGACCGACTGCAAGAGCTTAAACTGAGGGCTAAGGAGCTGCAGATAGCTGGAGAAAACAACAGCGCAGCTGTCCAGGAAGAGGAGCAGGAGTTTGAACAGCAGGCCATTATTTATGAGAAAGAGCCCATAACTGAAAGGCACCTGCACGAAATCCAGAAGCTTCAGAACGAAATCAATAACTTGGTGGAAGAAGTGAACAAATTCAGCCAGCAGCAGAAGAGCCTGGTGTCCTCGATGAGGAGATTCAGCGTGCTGAAGAAGGAATCTAACGTAGCCAGGGAGATCAAAACCCAGGCGGAGCACGTGAGAAAGTGTTTGGACGAGCTGTCGAGGGCGGCGAAGAAAGCTGAAAGCGAGCACGGGCCCTCCTGCGCCACGGCGAGAATCCTGAGCTCCCAGCACGCCTTCCTGTCCCACCGCTACCTCCACGCCATGCTCTCCTACAACGAGGCCATCGCCGCCAAGCAGGACAAGTGCAGGACGTTCATCGTCCGTCAGCTCGAAGTGGCCGGCAAGGAGGTGTCCGAGGAAGAGGTCAATGACATGCTCCAGCAAGGGAAATGGGAGATCTTCAACGAGAACCTCCTGACTGAAGCCAAAATAACCAAAGCTCAGCTCTCGGAGATCGAGCAGAGGCACAGGGAACTCGTCAGCCTGGAGAACCAGGTCAGAGACATAAAGGAACTCTTTATCCAGATATCGGTGCTGGTGGAGGAGCAGGGGGAGATGATCAACAACATAGAGATCAGTATGAACAACACTCAAGAATACACTCAAGTATCCAAAGAAAAATTTGGGCTTGCAGTCAGGTACAGAAAGAGAAACCCCTGCAGAGCAATATGCTGCTGGTGCTGTCCATGCTGCAAGTGATAAAAGAAATGAACTCCTGGGAATACCAGTGGTTCCTACACAGCAAACTTGATCTTGGAAAGCAGTCTTGGGATCCCACTGTCCCTTCAACAGAGCTCTCAGGAAAAACTCTCTCTGCTTATCCAAACAGAGTTGGAAGAGTGCAAAGAATTTTATGGTTCTCACACAAACACATGAATGAAGGGAAAGGATCGAAGGACAAAAGTGCCACTTTTTTGTTCTTCTGGCTCAAGCTAAAACAATGTGGCAACAAACTACCTATGCTTTTGGGAAACATTGAGAACACTGTTATCTCAAAGACAGTTTTCATAATAATGGTCTAGTTGCTTTTCACAAAATAACAATTGGTATTTTTAATTGCCTCGTGTTTTTTAGCACTTTTATTTACTCGATTCAAATTCTAAGGGTTTTTTCCCCCCAGAAATCTGAAATTCTACAAAACCAATCTACACATAAAGCAGACCCCATTAGTAATAATGCAGAAGGTGATGCCTAAACCAAACAAGAAGTCAGAGTTTCCTGGAGTGTTTCACTCCCATCTCTACAGAAAAAGTTACTCACAGACATTGGGTTATTTATTTAATGAAATTTAACAGAAAATAACACTGCAACTCAGGCAAAAAAAAATTACTTCCAAAAAGAAATTAAAAGGAAAAAAAAAAATCCACACTAAAACCAAACCCCAAAGCAGAAATGTACTTCTGAACTCTTTTGTGCTGTGCAAAGGCACAATCAATATAGCACTATATCTGGATCAATCAGAGAAGGTAGAACAAACTGCACTACAATTCTAAAAGACACTAAATGAGCTACATGTCTTCAGTTTTATCTAAAGGGGAAAAAAAAAAGGGCACTACTGAATTATTGTTACATTGTGATATTTATAAATATTTGGGTTCCTTCCAGCCCACGTTAAAATTGCAACTGAAATTTACTGTTATCAAAATACAAAGGTGTGAACCCTAAAGAGAAAAATATTATATCATTTATAAGAAATAAAGTTAATGACACCACAGATACTATTTCATTAAACAACCTCCCTTTACTGCTGCATGTATGGAAACTACCTTTATGTTCCAAGAGCAGAGTAGAAACCAGACAATAAACAACACAGAGAAAAGAGTTACTATGGTCAACATATATATATATGTATGTATTTATGTATATAAATTTAATATAATACACACAGAAATATGCACCTAACAGCAGCACCACCCCACCTTCCTTTCCTGTTTCTACTTTTAGAAAAAACAAAGGTAAATCACTTTCCTTCTCTCCTGGGCCCTTAAACAGAAAGGCACTGTGGTAGCTCTGTGAGGGATTATTATTCCCTAATACTTAGCAAAACAGCACAAAAGTGAACAACTCAAGTAGTTCTCAGATGTATGTTTGGTTAGAAACAGGCAAAACAGGAACATGTAACACACACTGAAGAAGAACTGGGAAGTGAGAAAGCCAGAAGGACTTGTGGAAAGCTTTTTCTTAATCTGGGATGCTAATAATTGAAAATAAATAGCATTAACTAAAACTTACATTGAAGTCATGGGGATTTGATATTGAGCATTCAAAATCATTAACAGGTGAAATTTTGCAGTGATCATTAAAATAACTTTCCAGTGTTTGTGTTACATGATTACACAGAAGAACAAATTAATTAAAGCAGAGGTCTGAGTGTTCTACTAAGAAAAGTGAAATATTAATAGCTATAATCCCTTATCACCAAAATAACAGGCAGAAAGGAGCTTTCTACTAAAGTAAAAATACCTGCCCAGCAATTTCCCTAGTATAAAAACATCAGCACACAGACTTGCATTTCCTCTTGCAACATAAAAAACCCCAAACAACCACAACAAAAACCCCAGCAAACACAATTAACCCCAAACAAAACCAGTATTTGCCTAAATAATATGAAGTTTGCGTGTTCCTTTCTGATACAAGGAAGGACAAAAAAACTCCATTACAGGATTAGGGCACTGAGATATCTAAAAAACCCAAATCAAACAAACAAACAACAAAAAAAACCCCAAAACAACAACAACAACAAAAAAAACATAACCCAAGAAGCCCCTAAAGTTGTATTTAATTAGAACCAGTTGTCAACTGTCACAACTGCATTTTCAGAGGGGATCTGGGGTAGAGCCACTGCATTAAGCTGCCTTTATTGCCTTCATTCAGAGCAATGGAATGTAAAATGTAATCTATTTTCAACATATACACCATTAGCTTGTTGAACCACAGTCCACTTCATCCAAACAATTAGCCACTTGCATCCTGGTGGTTACCACAGCATCACTATTTCCTTAAAATAAATTAAAATAAGAGGCCTCTCCTCTGAATTTTACAGATTCTTTATGATAGCACAGAAATGTTGTGCAATTTAATGCATTATGGAGGTCTTATGCCCACCAGACACTGTCCTGATAAACCATTTTAAACTTTATCTTGTAACTACAAAAGGGTATTTGTTATCAAAGACCTTTGGCGGGGCTGAATGGAATGAAATTTGTAATTTCCAATATTTTACAAGATCTATTGAGCAGAGAAAAAGCACATGACAAACACTATTAAAGGAAACCTTCTTTAATGAGATTTTACTGAGCATGTATCAGCAGCACCACCATGTGTTAAGTGAACAAGACATCTATTGCTGAGAGATCACCAGTATTGCTGAATATAATCAAGCATTTACAGTAATTGAAGTAGACCTAAGAAATTATATTTTTACATCGTGTTGTCATGCCAGGTTTGTAAAGCCTGTCATTGCAAGTAACATTACAATTTAAAATTATCAAAAAATCCCACCTGATTGTTTTTCCTCTGCTAAAGAAAGAGGAGACAACTAAATATCCCCTGAGAAGGATTAAGTAAGATACAAAGTCAGAGGAAGTGAATGGATTCAGGATATCACCAGCTGCTAGGGAGGGAAAGAGGGAGGGAAAGACAAGGCTTTGTTCCCCAGCATGATATGAAAGTAACATAAATAAACACTTCCTAAATACCACAAAAGCAACTGTAATATTGCTTAGTGCTAGAGTTACAGCACTATTAGTGTACTTTCACTTATTAGCATTACTATTAGTGTACTTTAACTTATGTTCACACTACACATAAACAGTTCTTCAGAAGGTCTAAATTTCCCACATTTCAGATTATTAGGTGAACATTTATTACATTACTTACACCAACACGGGTTTTCCTGATATCTTGGGGCTGTTCAAAACTTCTATCATGGCTTGCTTCGTTTCTTCCATCCTTTCCACGTCACTGGAATCCACCACAAAGATCACCCCGTAAGACTCAGCGTAGTAGTTCCTCCAGATATTCCGGATCCGTTTCCCACCTCCCAAATCAAAGATCGTCACTTCGAAGCGTCCCTGCTTGAGGTCAATTTTGGAAAAGCCAACTGTTGGGGCCACGTCTTCAGGAGACTCTGCCAGAGATCAAAGAAGGAAGTTTATCTTTTGGTTTAAAGAGGATTTCGCATGGTGATTGGTGTAGCAAAATTCGTATTTTAAAAACACGGAGTGAAACCTCCCTGTTAAATGGCACCACGTCGCCAAACATATTTTTATTTTCACATTAAGATTTCCCTCTTCTCAGGTAAGTGGGAATTAACACATCAGTCTTTTTTAACCAGTTGCTTTACGTTAATTTAGATAGGAGCATTGTGTCAGGGGAGGTGGAGAAAAGAAAGAAGCCAAAAATGCGCTTTTTAACAATTCATTTATATTAAAATATATTTATGTATACTATAGTTGTATTTTTTCTATTTATAAATAATATAATTTATGGGCTATATTTATATTAAATATTTATTATTTAATATAAACAGTTCCATTGCAGTGATGTTCAGTGTACTGCCATTTTTACTTCCCCCTCACCACCATGTGAACAGTTATTCAGCATTTGCACGGTATTAATTCAGGTCTGAGAAGGAAAACAAACCAAACAGTTAATGCATTATGACCTGGGGACCCTCCTGCTCTGCCAAATTTATCCTTTATCCTCCGTGGCTGCCAAAACAACTTCAGAGGTTCAAACAGAGATGACGTGAATGAAACCACGTTCCTCTGAGATGTGAACTACTCACCTCTCTTTATTCAAGAACAGGCTTCAGCCTTTGATTGTTTATTGTTATTTTCTGGGTTTCTAGTTTGCCATGCTTTATATTTAAAACTCTTGCTCCCTGTCTGCCTTCCCTGAGGGCAAAGAAAGCCCGTACTTGCCTCACACCACTAAGCTCTCTCTGCAGGGCTGAGATAATTGGACATATTCAACTGTTTTATGCAGCCTGGCAGGCACAAGGCAAGAGAAACAGGTGCAAAATTCAGTTATTTTGGCAAAGAAGACTTTGGTGGCCCTGCTGATTTACCCAGAGTGCTAAAAAGTGGGATGTGACAGCTGGGTTTTAGCAGAGACCAACTACAGCTGCAGTGTCCTCCTACAGACTGGGTGACTGAGGCACAGCCAAAAATACTGGTTCTAATCTCTGCAAGCCCTGCTAAGGGAAAAAAACCACCAACATAATTGCATTATAAGGCAACTATTTAAACACTTGGAAACAGTCACAGAAATCTTTTCCTTGAGTTTAGAAATATCCATCTTGACCTCGTCTTTCCTCCCCCAGAAAAATAGGATTTTTAGAAATAACTGTCACATTGAGCTAACAGAGGTATTAAAGTGGATTTTGACATAGAATGGAAGGCTAAATAACTAAACACTCATGTTTTCAGGGCTGAGAGAGAGAATGTCCCTAATTTTATTCCTGCTTTCTTGCGTAACACAACACAAGTAAACAGAAAAGTCGAGGTGGAGTCTCCGAGTCTGCCAAAACACTTCCAGATACACTCTTCTTATTGCACAAGATGGAAGTTATTTAGAAAGACAATCCCAGAAGCAGGGGGAAAAAAAAAATCCCACAGAGAATTTTCGTTGTCATAAGCACGAGTTTCATCTCAAATGACATCCTGTTTGCGTTGTGTCATTGGATGGCTCAAAGCACCCTTCAAAATCAAGTTGTCCCTTGCTGCTAATTTTCTAGGCCCTAATTTCAGTGCTTTTCTGATGACAGTGATTAAAAAATACATATTATTAGAACCATCCTTAATGTTATTATACAAACATATTCAATTTCCTTCTTTTGAACATATTTGTCATTATATACAATTACAACACCGATTTTTATAGGAAGTTTGCACGTTACTGGACATTCACCTGAGAGCAACTTCAGCACAGGCACCCAAGTAAAAAAGAAAAGTATGAAGTCCACTGATTTCTGTAATGTACACCAACATGTGAAGCACATCTTTAACGAGAATATTTTGTATCATGGCATTAATTCAATTATTATATAGAATTATTATTATATAGAATTTATTATTATTTTACTATTATATAGAATGTGGTAATTATTATATAGAATGTGGTCTCCAACCTTCAGAGTTTTTGTCCTTCACTTTCTTTCACTTAAATCAACTGATGGAGACCAGCAGCTTGTTTGTAATTATAATGTTCCTTCAGCTGTTTATTGAACTGCTGAGAAAACCTTATTCTTGTCAAAAATATCCCATGATGCTCATGAAATTTAAAATGTATTTTGTTGCAATTTGCAACTCTGCAATTTGCAACTTTTGCAACAAAATGTATTTTGTTGCAATTCAGCATTTTTTGTTGCAATTTAGCAATACAGTGGTCAACTCAAGGCATATCAGCATCAAGGTGCTCTGAACATTTGCTTTTTTTTTGGCTTTTCACATTTAAATAGATTGAAAATTAGTACTCCATTTAGACAATAAATAACTTGCTTACCTCCTTGAATCCCTCGGACTGTAGCAGTTTTACCAGCATTATCAAGACCCACCATTATTAGTGTCACCTTCCTCCATAAGGAGAAAAATAAAAGAGAAAGATATTTAAAATCTTTTTTTTTTTTTCTCCAGCTAGACATCACTTATTTTATTATCTTTTTTTTTTTTTTTAACACATGCATAGCAAATTTACCACCAAGCAGCAGGAATAATAGGTATAAAAATACCAAGGAGTGGCATTGTTACAATTGTGTATCTGGTGTTCAGTATGTCAAACCACCTGATTAGACAGAACAGCACAGCAAGGTATGAAATGAGAAGTCTAATATTGTGGTTCACATGAGACAGTGATTTTGCTCTCAACTTGCCTGCTGAAATTTAATTTCATGGTAGTGTAAATTTTATTTGGTGTGGTCACGGTCCCTTTAACAATTCCTGTCATTTCGTTTCCATTTCCCTGTATTTTTACCATCCCTCTGCCTCAAAGCTGCTCCTGTATTAGGAATTTATTTCTGTCTCCAGCAGTGCATCTGAACAACTCTACACAGTACACAACACTTGTGCAGACAGCACCAGATGCTGTAAACATTTACCAGGAGAGGATTTTAAACAAAGCAACAGGAAAAGCATGACTGTGTACTCCTCAGTTCTCCCTCCTATTCACAAACACTCAGAGCAGTCAGATGAAATTTGTTTCAATTTTATGCCCCTTTAAGTGAAGTAATACTAAAAACATTGTTATTTCCAGACTCAAAACTGTAATGGTATCAAACATGAAGTATCATTTATGCAAGTTCTTTCAGAAGAGCCAAAAAGCTCCGAGAAAAGAACCTAAAAACGAAGGGCAGGATCATAATAAATTATACTTTAACAGGAATCTAAAATCAGAACTTTGATAAGCTCACAATTGTCTCTAACACACTGTAGAGCCAGAAAGCTACTCAATCCAATATAGTTCTTTGAACAGTAGCACCTCCTGTAAAATCTAAACTATGTAGCACTGAAGAACAAATCCTCCTACACCAGTGTGAAGTATAAATAAGTTTATTTATTTCCCATAGTTTGCACATAATTTGAAATAAACTAGGGACTACTTTTGCCTCTCTGCTAACTGGAGGAAAAAGCAGGATGTCAAAGGAACAGAAACAGAGAAGAACAGCAGAATTCTATAACTGAGAGTGGATCACCAAGCTACCCACCAAATGCAGTGTGAAGATACTAAGACAACAGTAAGAAAATTAAACATTTTAGCATCACCCCATAATGCTCAACCTCAGGAAACAGTACGTGAAAGACAGTATTTTGAACTTTATGCTTTCCTGGAGTCAGAAACAAAGCACCCAACTGGGAGATGATTAACATCTCATTTTTAAGATCAGAAGATGTATTAATTCTCTACTGGATCAAAAAAAAAAAAAAGATGGATTTTTGTAACTGAATTAAAATGTATGAAGCAAATGAAGTGAAGTATAGGTGGAACACAGAAAGGTCAGCACAGAAATGCAGAATAGTTTCCCATATTTACCTGACAGGTTCCTGCCACCGTTTTAACCAGTTGCAGCAATTGGCCATTAGACTGAACATCCCTCTTCACTATCCACCCAGAGCCATCCAGAGACAGTGTGGACAGGCCAGAGCAACCCAAAAAGACTTGGTCTTGTCACTGCTGCCAGCAAGAAAAAAAAAAAAAGGGAAAAAAAGGCATGGTTAGCCCCTCTATTTAACCAAGACAAGGCATTTCCCTATCTGTTCATGTTCACTTAGTCCCACGACAGTCCCGGTTATTTCTTCCTCTTTTTCCATCCTCTCAAAGTTCACCTGCCCCCAGTTTTACATATTTGGGCAGCAACAACACAGTCCTCACATAAAATAACAGTGCAAGGCAACTGCACACAAGGGAACCTGCAAGTCAGAGGAGCAAGACGTATCAAGCTTCAAAATTCCAGTGCCTGCCTTGCTGGCACGTCCCACAGTTCTGCTGAGGGATGGAAAGTAAGGACCAATTTCAAGCATGAGTGGAGGTTTATAAGAACATAACAGGATAAGGCATTAAAAGCAAACACAGGATGTCCCTACCTGCTAAGTAATATTCATTGAACCGCCAACTGCTTTTACACAGAAAGATCCCACAACAAGGAAACTCAAAGAGAGTATTTCGAGGAGCTGGCAACTGTATCTAGTAATGGTCAGGAAATTAAATAGAAGGATCAATTACTTCTATCATTGTAGAATCCCACTTTCTGCTCTTTAAGGAGAAAGAAACTGAGAATATTCCTCTTTTTCATGCTGCTCTGTGAAACAGACAATGGAAAACAACCGTGCGATATGTGCTTGGTTATTTCGTTGTACACACGTTTATATTTATTTATGTTTATATATATTTATTTATGAAACAGCAAAGCTTACACAAACCATGCAGTCAAGGGTACTCTTTAAACACTCTTATTCCATTGTACAGGAGAACCTGAGCTTCTCCACAGGAGAGCTTAGGGCATGAAGAACACAGAAGTTTTTAAAAAGGAGAGCAAGATGAATGCAATTATTACAAGTAGTAAAATTGGGCTCTGAAGAATACAAATTCATCAAAAAAAAAAATAAAAATGCAGTGTGGTATGGTGCCTCAGCCCACAAGCAAGTACCAACAAAGCCACCTTTGAGAACACAGCTACACAGATTTTCAGCTGGCTCTACTGAAAAGCAAAATGTAACAGCTCAGTGAACAAAGTGTGCCATTGTCACTCTGCCAAACGACAAAAATGTGACATTTTCAGTGCCTGAGCATCCCCACAGAACAATTTCTCCCCCAAATTATGCACTGTCCAGCTTTGCAAACTGCTCTCAGCACACATACGGCCCAGAGCGTTCTAAACGGGATCCAGGAGACCAGGAAAACTTTTCCCAAACGTGCCACTCCAAAGGGTGGCTGAAAAAAAATCATGGTAGGGAGGCAAACCACATCGTGTCATGGGAGCTTGGAGGGACTCGATCCCTGAAATACGCAGGGCACACCACAGGTATTTTATGTGTTGCATTAATAACACCCCAAACCCGTTCCAGACATTGCATCTGTCAGCTGAAACCTTTTGTGCCTGTCAAAGTCCAACAAAACTAAGCTCAGAAATACTTCACTGTTAGGCCAGTACACCACTGATGCAGCAGGTCAGCACAAGTGCCAAGGACTAGGAATGTCAAAGATCCCAGTTTTAAGCAAGAGAAAAGGTGTAGCATAAAGAAAAACACTCCAGATTAAGATCAAGAAGTGCTCAGCAGCCCTGATGTTGGGAATCCAAAGCAATGGGCAGCAGCAAGTCCAGCATCCAGAGTCACCTGATGAATATGTTTATTATCATATCAAAGTGCAAACCCAGCACCTTTTACACTTTTTAATGCAAGAGTCTAAATTGAACATTAGGCCTTCAGTAGAGGCTTTTATAGTAGAGGATTTCTCCCGGTCACAGCAGGGCTTCACGTTCTTTGAAATGCAATCAAACAAATCATTTAAAACTGACCCTCCTCACAGAGATTAATTATTGAATTTCCCACTGCAACGTTACCCATCTGACCTGTTCGAATTTTAATTGTTATTTTATACAGAGAGAGAGACTTACACAGAATTTTAGTTTTGTGTCGTTTTCAAACAGTGGGTTTTGTACATCCACTAAAGAAATCTTTGCACCTCAATTAGCAAGGCATTAGAAGAGGAAAAGTTCTGAAGTATTCCATAGTAATGTACATATCTCTCAGATTAAAGTGATGGTAGGGGTTATCATTTCACAGAAAACTGAAAACCTTTTCCTTAATTTAGCGGCACAAAATTCCAGTTCTGCCAGGTCAAAAGGTATCGGTCCTTAAAGCTGTCACCGGTCCCAGACACAATAACGATGGGCCTCCAGCCAGAGCATGATTTTAAGAACTTCCAGAAACTTATTCCTCGAGCAGAACTTAAAATTTTTGCTATGTTTCTGGGAATTTTAAAGAACGATTTTGGGGATCAAACCCCGAGAACCGCGACGTCTCGGACAGGCTTGGGATCCTACTTGAGCATCTGCGAGAAAACAGCTCTGGGACCTCCAGCAATCCAGGAAAAGCGAAGCCACTACAAGAAAACAGCTCTGGGACCTCCAGCAATCCAGGAAAAGCGAAGTCACTACAAGAAAACAGCTCTGGGACCTCCAGCAATCCAGGAGAAGTGAAGTCACTACAAGACGCGCCGCGCTTCCCAGCCGCGCTCCTCCCCTTCCAAAAGAAACCAAACAAAAACCAAAACCAAACAAACAACAACAAAAAAAAACAAAACAAAAAAAATCTCCAAAATCCAGCCGGCCACGCACAGCCCCTTCTCTCGACTCCCCCGCGCGGCAAAACGTTTTTTGTTTGTTTGTTTTATACCAAAAAACCACCCCCTTTCTATGGGGCGAACATCTTCCCCCCCGCCTGCCGGACCCGCACATGGCGGAGCTCCCCCCTCCCACCGCGGGCGCTCACCGGTGTGTGCGGCGACGGGATGCGGTGTTACCCACCAGGTTGCGGGTGGAGAAGGAGCAGCGCGGTGGAGGAGCAGGCGGTGGAGGAGCAGCCGGGATCGCCCTGCGCGGCCCCGCCGGGCCCGAAGCGGCCCGGGCCCGTCACCCCGGGATACGGCGGATGGCGGCCGCGGGAGGACGCGCTCTGGTGAATGGCGAGAGGAGCAGCCAATAGGAGCGGGCGAATCCCCCCGCTCAGCCAATCCGCTGCGAGCATCGCGCCACCGCCCCGCCCCGCCGCGCTCCCCCGGCCCGGGCGAGAGCGAGCGCGGCGACCCTACAATAACACTGGGGAGCCGCTGTGTCCCTATCCCTGTCCCTATCCCTGTGCCTATCCCTGTCCCGTCCGCCCCCCAGCATGTCCGTCCAACCCCCTGCGCCCGGGCGGCGGAGCCGGCGCCCTGCTGGCGCTCCCCGCGGGGCAGCGCTGCCCGGCCCCCCCGCCCGCCCTGCCGTCCCTCCCTCCCGCCCCCGCAGCCCTGCCCGGCGCCGCCGAGCCGCGCAGTCCCGGCCGCCCCCCGGCAGCCATGGGGCCGCGGTGGCTCCCGCTGCTGGCGGTGGCCATCGCCGTGGCCCAGGCGGCGACCTGTGAGTGGGGACACGGAGGGGAGCGGGGCGGGGGGCGGGATGGGATCGCGGGGATGCCCGGAGAGTGCGCGGATCCGTCGATCCCAAGGGATCCGGCAGCTTTCTGGGGTAATCGGGATGTGACTCGGGGCACGTGAGCGGCTCTGGAGCTGTTCGTGGCGCAGGGGAGAGTGTCCCTTCGCGGGATCCCCTCCCGGGAACAGCCCCTGGGGGTGGGTCGTGGTCTCCGGGAGACACCGCGTCCTCGTGCGGTCCCGACTTTTGGCGAGCCCAGACCTAGGGAAGGGCTGCTTGCTGCTCACAGGTTAAAACCCAAACCATCATCATCATCATCATCATCATCATAATCAAGTCTTACCTCTCGAAACAAAAGTCTTTTAGTAGTAAAAGAAGTCTGTGTCTCGAACAAGCTCAAAGTGAGCCTCTCTCTGACCCGTTTTACTAATGATTAAACCGGCAGAAGAGGAACCCAGTGTTTACCATTCGGGCTTTCAATGTTTGTTCGCTTCTCGAAGTCAGGAATCCCGTCACTCAGTCTCGAAAGCGGAAAGTTCATTTTTATAACTTTTTTTTTTTTTTTAAAAAAATAAGTCTTCTAGCGAATGTTTCATAATGTTCTTTTCTCCCGATTTCATCACGTTTTCGGCTCTGTGTATCTTCTCCATCGCTTACCTCGTCACTTTCTCTTTCCTCAATGGCAGTGTCAATAGCTCATGCAAAATTCCTGCGGTCCATGTCGTCCAGCTTCCTATCCCGGTCTCTGAACAATGGCAGGGATTTCTGGAATGACAGGGAGGCAGGAAAACAGCTTAATGATGCAGCTCGTACCCTTCAGTAATCACAAAGCAAAGTGGCCACTCCGCTGGTCTTAGTGCAGTTGTTTGGTCCAACACCCAGTGAGGGACACATTTTGGAGAAGGGACAGACGAATATTAGGGGCTGACTTTTATTTTGTTGGCTGCATGAAGCTGATGTCACTGATAAGCGTTTTGGGAGATTCCGGTCCCTGGAATTTTGTGGCTGTTTGCAATACAGCAGCATCACAAGTCCTTTTTATTCAGTTTATGGGGGGCTCTTGAGTTTCTGGGAGAGCGCAGGACTGGGCTAGAGCTGCTTTCAGTGACTGGGGGTTTAGGTAAGCAGCTGTAAGTTAGGTTTAAGTGGCCCACACAAGGCAGGTTGCATCTGTACAACAAAACAGCTGTAAGAAAACAACTGGATCTCTTCCTCTCCCACAATTTTTCTTTCTTTAGTAGCACTGCTTCCAAACAGGTGCTTGATAAGTCATCACTGCACGGTGTCTGTGCAACACCTGTGGAAATTGTGAGGCTGCTGAATTGCACGACCTTCAGTGATCACCAAGTGAAACACAGCAAGTGCATGAAGGGTTAACTGTCTGTTTGGCAGGGTCAGAAGTGGGCTGGAGTTTCCTGTAATCAAACTGGCAGCAGCAGCAGTCAGGATTGTTTTTTAATAAAGGTCCTATCGTAATCTTTGTAGTTAAAACAGGGATTAATAAACACACTGGTAATTCTGTGCACGGGAGTTGGAATGTTTGCGCTAAAGCCCACGGAATTTGCTGTGAGTTACATGTTTTATTTACACTCAGTGTCATAGGAAATCAGCTTAGGAGAAGGATAAACAGCTGTGATGTAGGGGAAAGACCTATTTCCATTACCCCACTGTGTACTGGAGACATAAGGTAGACAGTGTTATATCTGTTTGCATGCACTTACAGTAAATAAAACACAAGAAAACCTCAAAACTGCGTGAAAATGAGAATGATGCAGCTAAAGGTCAAAACAAGGTTATTTAAAGTCAGCTGTGAATTAGGCCTCATCTACACCACAATTTTACCTTTTTTGTTGTCACTCCTTTTGCCTCAGAATAGATGGTCCTTCTGCATCCTTCTTATTAGCTTGCCTTTATGCAGTGACAAAGCATTTACTCAAAGTAATTAAAATAACACTGCTAGCAACAGTTGATGGTAAATAAGTTATCAAAGTGTTTTCCTGGGAATGCTTTCCAGTGCAGCTAGGGTTCAGAAGAGGTCTCGGGAGGCCTCTCTTCTTGTCCTGTCATCTCCCTGTGCATTTTGCCAGTCTCCCAGCTTGTTAGTGGTGGGCTTTTGGATTGAGAGAAAAGGTCTAAGACATCCACAACTGCACAGTTTCCAATTCACTGCTCCTCCTCTCAGCTCAGCGAAGAACAATCAGAAAATCCAAACCCACCTCTTGAAATACACTGTTAACAGTCCTTCTGGAGGCACACTTCTGGTGTGCCTTAAGGACTGTGAAAGTGGAAGGCAGCAGCAGAGGAAAGCAGGCTTGAAGCATCTCTTTTGTGACGAGAGTTCTGTGGGAAGTGGAGGCCCGGGAAATGAGGTGAGGTTGTTCTTTCTCCAAGCAGTTTCCTCGAGGATCAGTCTCACCTTGCAGCGTCCCTTCTGTTCTCCAGTAGAAGCACCACGTGGATTAGCATGCCTGCAAGAAAGAATGAATCATCAAATAGCAGACTGATACACTTATGAGCAGGGAAAGAACACAAGCTGACCTCTCCTCCTCGCATTCCTAAGCAGCTTGGTGGTTGCTCTTTGAGATAAAGGGGTGCTTTAAAACTTGAGGGGTGTGCTGCAGTACATCCACCTTATGCTAAGGAAATTTTGTCTGTTGCCTTTCTGGAATGATTAATCTTACCAAAGAGATCAGTTTGGAAGTACAAGCTCACCCCCACGTGAAGTACATTCAGGATGCTTTGAAAACAGAAAGGTTTCTTCAGGTCATTATCCAAGTTGCAGAGTGCTTCAGCTCTGTTCCCTGGAACTTGCTAGAGACCTTTAGGATGGTCTGGTTTTATTAAATATGTCATCTAAAAGCCATTCTGCATTCAGGTTCTGAGCCTCATTAGCTGCTCTTCTTAAGTTTTCCCTGTTGTCTCTAAAAAGAAGACCGAAGCAAAAATATCTTTCATTTTTAGTATCATTTCTCAACTCACCTGTTTGTTCACCATCTGTGTAAAAGTCAATCAAATGACAATAACAAGACGTGAAAATTAGGTGACAGCACATAACATGATGGATCTGAGATATAAAAGTTAGCTAGGATTCTATTTTATCTTGGTAAACTGTGAGTGTATTCATGGGTTATCTGAGATTTCTCACCTTTTACTTAGTCTTGTTCTGTGCAGTTCTGAAAAATAAAATTATGCTTATGTTAATTACACATAAGAAGTACCCTGATTTTGGAAGACATAGTTTTGGTCTCACATGACTTAAATAGCACCAGAGTATTTACAGGTCACTGAGACAGGTAATATAAGAGGCTTTGCAGCTTTTTTCCCCTTAGAGGGCTAAGTTGTACTACTAAACTTGTACTACTCATATCTTAAAAAAAAAAAAAAATAAAATCTTGTCCTGAATATGAGAGTTAAATTGTGCTTCAGGCATAGCATTGCACAAACATTTTGGTGACTCAGAATTTTCTTTTTCCTTGTCAGCAACAGCTCCCCCAGACACAGAAAACAGACTCCTGGGATTTCCTTGCCCACAGTTTTCAAAATGACAGTGAACTCAGCTCCTGACTAAGCATTTAATTCGGAATTTTTTGTTAGGTCCTCGTATTTATTCAGTGTTTACTACTTTGTTCAGCTGCAAATAAACAATGACAGAGCTCCTTTGTTTCTCCCAAGTTCTGTCCCAGCAATATGCCTCTCAGTTCCTGCTGAGGAAACGTCGAGCCAACTCCTTTATGGAAGAAAGCAAGAAAGGAAATCTAGAAAGAGAATGCATTGAAGAATTGTGCAATAAGGAAGAAGCCAGGGAAGTCTTTGAAAACAATCCTGAAACTGTAAGTATTTTATGAATAGCTGTGACATAGACGGTTCTTTGCAGAGGAAAAGCCAGAAGTACGTAGAATTCACACTTCAAAGCTATAAGAACCTTAATGAAAGGGCTAAATTTAATTACTGCAAGATTTTTTTTCAAAGTGTGGAGGACTCTGTTCCTCAGTTCACTACCACTGCACATTGTTTGGCAGCAGGTATATTTTATTTACCGTTTTGCTACAAAAGGTTTATTATGTTTTGCAAACAATGTCAGTTCCGAGTTCTGTCTTTTGATAACATTGGATGTGTTTGGCAATATTAGTTGTTAAGTTTAAATAGTTTCAGTAATCAATGCTCAATTGCTTTTAATAATTTTTGCTTTAGTAACACTTTTCACTTTTGGGATGAAGTTGCTGTGAGAAGTTAAACGTATTCCAGGGGGGTTTGTTTGTTTTGGGTTGAAAACAGGAAATAAAGGAGGCTGGCTCTGCATCCAATAACAACATCAAACCAGATCCTTCCACTTAAAGAGAATTTTCAAAGTAATTTTGACACCCAATTCATTTTCACTGCCTTCATTTTGCAAGTTCTCAATTCATTGCAGTGTCTTAATCTCTCCTTTGAACCTTGTGTGCATTAAATAATCTGCTTGTTTAGCCTAAACAACAGTGATATAGAAAACCTGGCCTATATTCTGTGAGTCAAAGTAACTTTTTAATTCCTTTGTAGTCCTAATACCAATATATTTTAGAACTTGTTCAGTGATATATTTTGCTCTAATTTTATCTACCTGAAATTTTTCTTTTCTTTCCGCAGGAGTATTTTTATCCCAAATATTTAGGTAAGTACAAAAAAAAAAACAAAAACCCTAAACAACTCCAGTGTATAATTCACTGGTCCCCTCATTTGGATAATACTGGTTTAGTTATTCTGCCCAGAGCACTTGAATGATTTCCATGCTGATTGTAATGCACAGAATCTCCCTGAGCTCTTGGATCCTTAGTGCAGAGGCACTCAGGAGGTTGCTCTGTGATCAGCCACCCTCAACGTGCCCAGACAAGTTTCCTAATCCAAGCTTAGGGAACAGACCCTTTGAAGATGGATGAGCTTGCTGTGATTTCAGCCTAAATGAGCGCTGGTGTCATCAGCAGATCGTGTGGGTTTGCATTTGCAGGCTGCCTTGCCTCCCATCGAGCTGGGGCGTTCAGGGTTGCTGCGGTTACTCCTGATTCTCCAGCTGACCTGAGGGACTGTGTCAGGGGTAAGTGCTGCTGTTAAATGCTTCAAACAATGCACTCACATCTCAGAACACATGCATGGCTACAGAGCAGTTCCCACGGGCACAGAAACAGACAAATAACCACTTAACTCAACAATCTAAAGCAGAAATGGACAAAAAATGTTGGGTGAGACAGAGCATTTTCAGAGAAAGCAGTTTAAGTGACTTGGTTTAGCTTTATGAAGCACCCTGGAAAAGAACCATGACTAAGTGCAGAACTCTCCTGGAAACAGAAGACCCCACAATATTCCCCAGTTCCTCTGTACTCTACTATGTCTTTAACTCTTTGCATCTAGCAAGTCATGTTAATAATAATATATCTACAGATTTCGAACTTTGCTTTCTGAGGTCTTGCTGGCACGTATAAAGGATTTTCAGTTGCTCTTTATGATGCAGATTTGTTTGTCATTGAAGTTGATATTTGTAAGAGGTATTTGTATTATACCCTGATGTATCCAGCCTACCCTTGACCTGGATGGCCAAGGCAACCCGAGGTGCCAGTTCCTCTGTAAAAGTGACCCTCCTTGAACAGAGAAACTCAGCTAATTTTGAAGTCTTGGCATTCTTGAAACTTTCAAGAAATTTGTGGTAATATGATGAGGCAGAGCACTGTTCTTTAAAAAGTGAAATACATCCTTAAAATGTAATGAAAACAGTAAGAAGTCTGAATTTGGTCATATTTTGCAGACATTGGCATGGTTTGGCAAGTAATTTGTCTCCTAGTTGTTTTCTGTCTGACAAAGAAAGTATTGATGTCTTGCATCAAGCCCTTTCCTATTTCATGACATGTAAGGAAGAGAAGAAGAATAAACTGATTTCTTGAGGAAAAATAACCCCAAATAACAAGTCTTTTCAATGCTTTCCATCCCACAGAAATTTCCAACCAGTGCAGCCCCCTGCCCTGCCATAAAGATGGATATAAGGATTGCATAGATGGACAGGGCAAATACACGTGTGTCTGCAAACCAGGGTGGAGAGGAGAGAACTGTGAGGAAGGTATGGCCTTTGATCTCATGTGTTGGCTCTCAGGAGTACAACTACAGTTCTGCTGTTATTGAACAGTATCTCAGTTGGTTTGATTTTGTTTTCCTTGCAGATATAAATGAGTGTGAAGACTTTAATGGAGGTTGCAGCCAACGCTGTTCCAATTTACCCGGGAGCTACCGTTGCTTGTGTGAGGATGGATACTTCATGCACTCCAACAAACGGGATTGTGGAGGTACAGAGGGAGACTTAAGAACACTATTCCATGATGATACACTGCCTGCTGCCTAGGGAGAGGAAAGAATTTAGTCCCACAGTTCCATAAATGCTCTAAGTTCATAAAAGGTTGTGTTGCCCCTGAAAGGTTCAGCCCTGCTTTGACTTGGCTGCTCACTGCCAGCTTTTCTGACAACCACACGGTGAACCAGATCCAGGAGAAAAAAAAAGAAAGAGGCAAAAGGCTATAGATGAGATTCTTATTCATTTCAGAGCTCCAAAGAGCTTGGTTTTATCCCTTACCAGTCTCACATAGGCTTTAAGCGTGCTAAAACAAGAATCTAAAGTGGTGTGACCAGCTAGTATTGTTACCATGGAAATCCTGCCTGGGCTTAGTTTGAATCATTCCTAATTAGTGATGGTGCTCTTTCAGGAGTTTGAAGTTCACTGGAGAAGAAACTATTAATGAATCCATAAATTCTCTTAATGGAGAGAGAGATTTGGCTTTTATTCACCCAGAATAATTTTTTTTTCTGTGCCTGCCTCTGTCTGTTATTATTGGCCAGGACCTATGTGCTCATTCCAGTCCAGATAAAGACCATGTGCTGACATAGTTAGCAATTCTTACTGCATAATTAGAAAACAAAAAAATACAACTTCATTTTATTTTAATGTCACGTTTTATTGCCAAACTATGACAACAGTTTTGGATAATGTCAAATAATTTAAGAGACTGAATTTGATGGCCATCTTCAGCTATCACTTTCTTTAGTCTATAAATTTTTGGGAATTAATAACTTCCAAAGTAGTGCCACAACAACCAGAGATTGTGGTTTTGTCAGAAAGGGCAAGCAGATAAGTTGATTAGAATCTCTGTGATTCTTGAAAAGATACTGGAAAATTTGGTTAAAAAATAATCAAAGATAAAAGTAGACCACTGTACCTTAGTACCCTAAGTACCAGTTCTGTCATTTGATAAACTGGATTTCAGTATTTCATTACATCCAACTACAGTTACACAACTAGGAATTTGGAATACACACAGTAACTGCAGAAAAGTAGTCCAAGTTCAGGGCAGCTTTGACTTAATAAGGTTCCAGGAGTCCTGGCAAGCCAGTGGCAGACTCTCTTCTCCCTGTGGTTGACCATTTCCACTACTACAGAATCACAGAGAAAACTGGAATGATCCCTGCACACACAAGTGGGGATGGAGAACTACCAGGGATCTGATATTATTCTGTCCAAAAGACATTTAACAAGATTGATGCTATGTGCTGAATCCAGTTGTCACATCTGCATCGTGGAAATGACAGTGAAAAATTGGAAACCCCCCAGAAGACAGACACTAAAAGGGTTTGAGGGATAGAGAGACAGTGAGGGACTTGAACACCTGTCAGCAGAGCCAATTAAAAGAGAATTGTGACATGAATTGATTGTAGCATGAAAGAACCTCCAACAGGATTATCTCCTGTCTTTCTTTCTGGATGTCTTTTTTCTAAGGTAGGATTTTATTCTGCAGTCTGGTTTAGTTTGTAGGAAGCCTGCAGGCTGTTTCTCTCCCTGCCTTTCTGGACAAGCATCACCTTTCTTGTTACCCACAGAACACAGGAAAGAATGAGAAAGATAGGCAGGCAGAGAATTTTTTTCCTCTGAGGGCATGCCCAGGTGTCTTTTGCCTCTGGAAATCTTCATGGCTATGGCTGTAGTCTGCTGTGAAAGCATGGCAGACCAGTTTTCCAGCCTCACTCAGTTTGGATAGGGTTAGGGAAAAAAAATGGTATGGAAGATAGTGACGTGTTTTTTAATAACTTGTTTGTATTTCTAGATATAAATGAGTGTGTGCTACATCCAAACATCTGTGGGACAGCCATCTGTAAAAACACCCAGGGAAAATATGAATGTGAATGTGCAGAGGGCTACACGTACAATTCAACTTCCAAGAACTGTGAAGGTAGGGCTTGGCTCCCAACCCCCTCCTTTCCTTATTCCCAGACGTTGGATTCTCAGTTCATGGGATCTCTCCTTTCCCACTGCAGGGAGGACTTTCAGGCCAAGCTCTAAAAAACTGTCTGACATGTTTCTTGCAGGTGCCTTGGACCAATGTGTTGAGCATCTGAACATCACTAGAGTATTTTGTCTTAGAATGTGTTTTTTTATCTCTCTTGGTTTAATACACATCAGAAATTAAATTTCAGTTGTAGGACAGCTATGAAAGCCCTTAGAGTTTTACAACGAAGAGGAATTTTCTACATTGCCAGTTTAAGAAAAATATATCCATGACTGGTTTTTATATTTTAGATGCTGCCTTTATGTGACTACTCAAAAGGACACAGAAGCAGCTTCTTGCTGTCCATGAGTCTTTTGCTCCATGGCTTTTCATGCAGGTTTCTTGTAACAAAGCCCTGCACAGTGCTAGTGATTGCATATCCAGATGTCAGCTCTTTGGTCCAGTTACTGTGGGATTAAAACACTACTGACAATTTTATGTTCCCCGTGTGCACCAAAGTGAGAAAAACTTCACAGTAATTTATCTGATTCTTGCTCCTCTCAGTATTTTCCTCAGATAGATTCAGTTGGATGCAACCCATGTAAGTACTGCTGGTCTAGGCTGCAAGATGAGGATGCTACAACAAAAAAAGTCTCACCTCCTAGGAGGAGATTATGCTGCTAAGCTTTTAGACCCTGCTGTAACCACATTAAATGAGTCACCAAATCCTTTCTGAGGACAGGATCGTGCAGACTGGCAGGAATGCTAAGTGACATCAGCTTTTCATTGGCATGTTGCATATGTAGGTGGCCAAATTCAGTTATGGTTATTAGAAAAAGTGAATTTACTTACATTTATGCACAGCTCTCTCTGTGGTGACAGATTCCAGTAGACTGGGACAGCAGAGGTGTTGTTTTCATCTTTTCCTCAGCCATTCCTGGGAGAATGTTGCTGCAGTTCTTCATCCCTGCTGGAGATGGGAGACACTATGAGTGGAAAATATCTGTACAGTTCTTTGTTTCATAGTAGCCATACAATTTTAGACACAGAGTTTGATTATCTTTCTCTCACTTTTGCAAGTTCAAACACCTTGCTAAAAAAAAAAAAAAAAATAGGTAGTGGAAATGAGTAAGTACACTTACTGTGCTAGAGGGGTCTATCCTGCAGTCAGGAGAACTGAACCCATCTCTTAAAGGATCAAGGTTTTCTCTTAAATCTTTAAAAAAAAAATCTCAGCATAGTATAAAACAGATTTAAATGCATGCATTGGTACAAAATTGTTTATTCCCACTAGGAGGGCCATTTGTTTCAAAACAAGTGTTGCAGTTACTTTAATCTGAGGCTCCAAATCGCCCTCATTAGAGTCTCTTGTCAGGGAGAGGTTTTGTTTGTTTTTATGTCAGAACTGTAAAAGTTGCAGTTGGCCTTTTACCCAGCCTTTCATTTTTTAAATTATTTATTGTGTACAACCTGCTATATAGAAATAGAAGTTCCTTGAGTTGATTTAGCTTATTTGCAGTTCAGATCAGCCTGCTGTCTCCACAAGCAGATGCTGTCTGAAACTCAGCTATTTATGAGATGATGGTATTTTATTTTGAAAGGCATTTTGCCCTGAGATTATTCTGGTTGTATATTAATAAAGGAGGTCCTTTCTTCACATACTTCCTCCATATGCTCTTAATATTAAATCTAAGCTCTCATGATGATGCCTTATAGGGAAAGGAAGAGATCTGACGCAGAATGGCACTTCTGCCATACGTGGTGGTCATTTATGAGGTCCCTTTCAATAATTCAGCCACATTACAGCTCAGTTTCTTAGTGCCTCACAAATCAGGCCAAACTGCCTGCAGCTCTCCACACCAGGGCTCTCTATCAGATTAGTAAGTCTTACACACCCAGCAGGTAATTCTGGATTGTAAATTTTACACAGGAGACCTCCAGGAGCATTAGTTTAGCTTAGCAGCAGTCACCTATTGAATTCCTGTTCTTCCAGGGAACCCATCTTGTCCATTATTCCACTAATTGTGTTAGTTTATCAGTCTATTCCAAGAATAAGTCTTCCTTTATGCTTCCATTTCTCCTAGATATCGATGAATGTGCTGAAAATGTTTGTGCTCAGCTCTGTGTAAACTCTCCAGGAAGTTACAGCTGCTACTGTGAGGGCAAGAAAGGGTTCAAGCTTTCCAAGGACATGAAGAATTGTGAGGTAAGACTGTGCTATGCAAAATTCCATGTGGGAAATCACAAAAACTGGGTATTTCTTGATAGCAGGATAAATTAGAATAAGGCAAAGAGGAAGCTATTTGAGAACAGATTAAAAATTGCTGGAGATTCTGATCTATGGTTTGGCTCACAAAGCAGGCCTGGTAGGGATTTGGATGCCATTCAGTTCATGAATGTTCATTTACAGGAGTCCTGTCAAAAGAAACTTGCCTTAGCCAGTCATCTTCATTCTCTGCTGTTTCCAAAATAAGCCTCAGCTTTCTCCTCTCAAACAAATAATTTCTGTTCAGCCAGCTCAGAGGCAGAACGTTCCATTTGCCCATATGTTCCCAAGTTTTCCTTAGACTGCACAGAAGTTTGCATTCACTGTTTCAGAATTACTCTGTGCTTTGCCTGTTTGGATTGAAAAAAAAAACCAAACCACCAGCTCTGGATTGTTTTCCACAGTTCTCATCTGCCATAGCTGAAGAAAAAGCCCTCAGTAATACTTGCCAGTTGAAGAACATCCTGCAGCCAAAAGTGGCTGTTCTTGCTCAGTTTGGAAATTTACACTTCTTGGTAGCAGAAACTTTGAAACTGCAGAGGATCAGAATTCAAGGATTCCAGTTCAGGGGTTTTCTTCTGTTCTCTGTGTACTTTGAAAGGTGCAGGCAGGCTGAGACTTGTTTTGTGAAGGGAAATCACACAACAAGTGCCAACAAAAAAAAAAAAACACCTCTAACAGAGTCTAACAAAATTTGGATTAAGCTTTGGGAACAAGATCTGACACAAGTCCTGGCATCTGTGTGTTAGATCTTGTTGGCACTTTCTGAAGTTTAGTATCTGAGCAACACTTGGCAGTAATTCTATTTCATTTTGCTCCTCCTCGAAATAGTAACACGTGATAAGGCTGGAAGAGGCTCTTATTTTAAATGCTGTTGTTCATATGTGATTAATTCCCTATCTGGAAGATAGTTTAAAAAAAGTTTAATCAGCTGAAAATAAATGCAGTCTAAAGACTAGTGATGCCAGCAGGCTTAAAATGAAGTAGCCATAAAATTCAAGATGAGCACCTCTACATTTACTGGAACTGCTGCATCAGGAATACAGAAGTCAGAGTTTGGGAACTGCACTCGATAACTTTTACAAGAGTGCAGCATTTCTTGGGAACAGAAAAGTTCTCACACCTGTTCCTGGTCATTCTGTTCTGCAGTACTGCTCTTCTGCCATCATGGGGTGTTTTGAGTGATAAGATTAGATCCAAATGACTTTTAGACTCCTACTGTGAGACTCTTTTAGACTCCTCAGTGAGGAGGCAGGTGCTCTAAACCCCATTCTGGGGTCTTCCCACCTCTCTCCACACACACAGCCTGATTTCCTGGGCCTAAAGGAATCAGTGTTTTACTTCTAAATGAAGTCGTACATATTACTTAAGTGCAAAATTACACTTTCAGAAGATAAGTCAGCAGTGCCTTAGAATGGATACTTGACATTGCTTTACTGAACATTTTCCTAGTTTAAACTTGCACCACACAAAATAGATGTTACTCCTGAATAGAAACATCTTTGTTTAAAACATCAGGTGGATGAATACCTGAAGGAATAAGCTCAGTTTCCCCCCTGCCATTGCAAGTTTGATTACTCACACTGACTTTGGTAAGAGCATTAGGATTAATCCTAGTTTTACATTCTGTTTGTAGTTGCCACAAATACTTGGAATTTTTTACCCTTTTCCTGATAATGTGCTCTTAAGGATTTCGTAGTCCCACTGTCAATCCTCAGAAATATTAATTCAGTGCTATTCCAGTAGGAATTGTGGTGTTGCTTTTGTCAATATTCCTTTCCAGAGCTCAAATAGGACAGGTACATTCAAGGAACAGCCAAGACAGAAACATATTCTTTTAATCTGTTACTTAATCCACTTGTAAATTGTTACTTTTTATTCCAGGTAAATGATTCTAATAGTACTAAAGATCATTCAGCTATGATTAGCTATAAATCAGTTGATAAATCAGGTGATAAAGAAAATAAAATCACCTTTTATGTTTTTAATGCAATCTTCTCAAGACACAGCTCTGACCCCATTCCCTTCTAACAACTGATCAGGTTTAGATTCTACAGAACTTCAATAATGGAGCTTGGCAGGACCCCCAGTATGGGGGTGTCAGACATCCCTGGTGAAAGGAAAGCACCTGATGGAAGATTTGAATTCTTAATTCAAATACTAAATGTTTAAATAGTAGTTCTGATCCACCAGAACTGTGTTATCCTCCAGCAGTTTAAATAATGGACATTTCAAAAGCAGAACCACACCACTTCATTTGTACATAGGTATTCAAGTTCTAAAAAGCCCGAAAAACCAGAGGTAAGCCATTCTTTAGAAACAAAAAAGGCCAGGCCAGCAGCCAACAGGAGTGCTTCATAAGCTATCACAATGAATTAACAGGGTTTTTTTCTCTACCATTTTCAGTCTGTTACTCAGTGTATCCCACTGAACCTCGAAAAGAATTATGAACTGCTTTACCTGGCAGAGCAATTCATTGGAATTCCCGTCCTCTACCTAAAGTTTAAATTGCCAAATGTCACAAGGTAAGCACTGACTGTTTATAGAAGCGTGCACTGACATTATGGACATCTGTGCTCATTCATTTTCTGAGGGTTTAGAAAGAGTGCCTTGCATGCATAAATTACATCACCACCTCCACAGTGGTTAAGATGATACCTTTGTGTGAAGAATGAATTAACTCAGGTCCCACCATATGTCTGTGAATAGCAGGGTTGAAGTCTTGAGGCAGTTACAGTCCCCGTTCCCAGTGCTGCTCTGAGGGAGAGGGATGTGGGACAAGGAATTCCCAAAGATCCAGAACCAAATGGGGAGAAAGGGAAGAGGATTGAGGGTGCTAAGTTTAATAAGCAGTGGGTGCTCTTGGTTTGTGGAGAAGAGAGCAAAAAGGTGGTGGCTTTCTCACGGCAGAAGCTTCCTCTGGAGGAAACAGCAGGGGCTGGGGAGGGTGGGAGGTGGGGATACAGAGACAGGAAGGCATTTAAAATTATCAGCAGAAAATTCAGAGATTATAGGAAAGTAGTTACTGTACAGCTCCCAGTTAAATATGGGAATGCCTTCAGTTTGGTTGTTGCTGCTACTTCACATATACTCTGGGTGGAAGCTGTGACATGCCCTGCACATCCTGCTGAGAAACAAAACCAGGCCAGTGTGTTCCAAGGACAGCACCTTGTCTACAGATTTCTTTACAGCTGTCAGAGCAATTGTTAGTGCTGGTGACCCCTTTATTACTTGTGGACTTCAGCTGAAACTGCAGCTTGACTTCCTGACAGAACAATTTGAAGGTAACAGCAGCAGCAGCAGCTGTCGAGCTGGTGGTCCCCAGAGCCCCAGAACCTTGCAGAAGGACATAAATACTGATAACTTTTTCCTGTGCCGCTGTTCCAAGTCGGCCAAGCATTAATGCTGCCCTGGAAGACCTTTCTGAGGTGATAAAATGTTTGAAGGTGTCCTGAGAGTGTCTGTGTAAATACAGGACTGTAAATGCAGGTCTGGCGAGGGGCAGCTCCATCTGGCGGACAGGGAACAGCACTGCGAGTGATAAACACCCCAATTAATTACAACTGCCTTCAGAAAGCCTTGACTTCCAAATGCTTTGCTTTCCCCTTTCATCTTTAACCTATTTTATCCATTCCCAGAGCTTCAGGAGACGCACACTCTCATTTTGCCACACACACACGTTTGGCCAAGATCCAGA